TGGGCTCTTTAGCGGAAAGATGAGATGGGAATGTACCAAACAAACAGTGTGTCCCATTCACTGTACACACCCACACCTTCTCCATCAGTCCCCAAAGGCAAAGAATCAGAAGGCCTAAGGGCACGAAGGAAGGAAGGAAGGAAGGAAGGAAGGAAGGAAGGAAGGAAGGAAGGAAGATGGACTTGAAGAAAAAGGGGAAGGGAAGCCAAGTTCCTCATGTACTCCACAGGCAGCATCCAGCACAAAGTCTGCTGTCTGGTCAAGGCCAGATTTGAAAAGATGCTTTTCCCTGGCTCAACTTTGCAAAACTCTTCGAGTCTCAGCCCAGGCTCACGTGGCAGCTTTTGGCTGCAGAGTGTCAGGAGAGTATTTCTGCAATGTATTGAAGATTGTATAAACATGTGAGGTCCCCAAATTGAAGCAACCAAGTTGTGTTGGCATGAGGAAGCATCAGGGGTCCAGGCTAAATTCCTATGAGATATTGGCAAGCAAATGGGATTTCATGGCCCGATCACTGGGCAGCTGTCTTAGGGACATGCTGTATACACTCAGCCAGGTTGAACATCTAGCTCAGTATTGTCTACACAGACTGGCAGCACCTCTGCAGGGTTTCAGGCAGGATTCTTTCCCTAACTTTCCCTGGCACCTGGAACCTTCTGCATGCAAGGCAGGTGTTCTGCCACTGAGCGACAGTCCCTCCCTGAAGTTGGAGCAGTTAGCAACTTCTCCCAGTTAGTGGTGGCTTGAATAATTGGTGGGTGTGTTTGGTTCTGCCCCTTCCCCAGCAAGATGGTTGCACAGATGTAACAAGGGCACACAACAGGTGGTGCCCAAAGGGCGGTGCGGAAGAGGGTCTGCAAAGTATCTGCTGCCCCATTTTCCTGCCCTGAAACCTGCATAGAGTTGCGCCATAGTTCAGATGAATTCACTGCCAAGACAAACGAGATCAGCCTCACAGCAAGGGGAACAGAAGAACCGTAAAAATAACCATAGAAATTTCTCTTCTCTCTGATTACAAAGATACAAAAAGGTATAAAAACCCTGCCCTGCCCCTCCCCCTGCAACCACCCCACCCTTTCACGTTTGCGTAGAGCACAGAAATGTTTCAGAAAGGAAGATTTCAACTGGTCTGGGGTTTTTTATATGTAATGCATGGTGGGGGGGGGATGCTCGTGGTGTGGCCACTCCCCCCTCCATTCAGGGTGCCCCTCCAGGCAGGGGGAGCGCCAGTGTGGCACAGAGGTTCTCAGGACACCTTTCTTCCACAGCCAGATCTTTGCGCCTTGCCTGACTCTCACCCCACAAGTTCTCCACCACAGTGTGTGCGGGGGATGGATTTGGGCCTCCAAGCAGCCTCAGTTCTTTCCTTGTCGATGCCCTGAGGAGTCCCAATCTTCTGGAAGTGTCTGGCCCGGCAATCTTGCTTCTTCCTTGGTCCTCACAGCAGTTGGGCCCTTCAGGAATGTCCCTCACTTCTTGTTACTCTTTTTGGGGAAAAGAAAGGCAGAATTATGATTAAGCAATTCCTCTCCAAGAAGCCTAAAACATAGACTCTGCATTCTGAAGTGGCTCCACACATTAGCTCAGGAAGGGAGACTTCCTTCAGCCCAAGGACCGAATTCTGTTTTGGGGAAGGCTGCAGGGATGCTATTCCTGCCATGGGTGGGGTGGGGGCTGAGAGCGAAAGGAGCAGGGCCCAAATGCATCAGTGTACTGTCACCTGAAGCTCTTACTGCCGGCAAGGGAGCCTGAGGAGAGGCATTTCAACTTCTTCAAAGTTGAGGAGGAGATCTGCACGAAAGTCAGGAAAGCATCAAAGGGATGGTTGGAGGAAAGGGGCAGGGCAGGGTGTGTGGCCATGTGAGGAGCTCCAGAGGGCTAGCCTGGGCCCAGGTAAGGTTGGATCTGGTCCCTAAGCAGCAACTGGTCTGGGAAATGCCTCTCCTGTTCCTGCCTCCAGTTAGGGTGGTAACTGTAAAGCCCAAAAAACAATCAGGGTTTTGGACAATAAAGAACAGACAAGTCACAGACTAGAAACTGTGACCAAGTATATACTATTATACAATAGTATAGGCTGAACCTACCAGCAAGCAGAGTGAGGCAGCTGGTCTGGAGTGTCAGGAAAGGACAACTAATTGTTTGGTTTTGACTGATAATTATTGTGTTTTTACTCCCAGTGATTTTCTGCTCTAGGATTTTCTGCCTCAAGTATCAGAACAATTTGCTGACTGTGCACTGTGAGTTGCCAGGGATGTGGGGTGGGTGTGAAGCACCATCTACTGTTCTGCCTCAGACAGCAAATTGTCTTGGGCCAACCCTGTAGAAAGCTCAACCCCTGCCAGGCCCCTTCACTTCTGGGCCTTCAGGTGAGCGATCTCTTGTACTTTCAAATGTTCCACCTAACTACCAAGGCGGCAAACTTCACAAACAGCTGTGAGATTGGCAGGACTCCAAATTCCATCCCCCACTGGGGGCATCAGGCACACGGAATGCAGATGGTTCTGTTCCGCAGACCTGTCTCCCGACAGAGTAAACAGCAGAAAGAAACCACCACCAGAGGTGATCAGAATGCCTAAATCAAGACCTAGACACTGGTGACTCATTCCTCCTAAACACTAAAGAAGTGGATTTGTGTAACATTCCCAGATCCAGAGCATTCTGAATGAGTTCCCCAAGGAAAACAAAATATGCACCAAAGGTGCTATCAGGGCTTAGTATATGGAGTGTTTCCTTGACCCAAGCCTGTTCAAAGGTCCATGCTTATCTCCTCAGATTACATGCTTAAAAGGAGAAGGATTTCTCTTTTTCTGTCCTTTCGACTCAGTGAAACATGGATCAGAATATTTTCCCAGAGCAACCTAGCTAAAAAAACAGACTCTTCTATTCAAAGCCACATGCATCGCATAAGAATTCACCACAATTGTGCAAGGCAGCTTTGCTGACTGAAGCTGCTTCTTTCATTTGTTGCCAAGTTAAGTTATAGTCTAACTACAGAGTTAGGGTGCTTCTGGAGCAGGGGTGAGTATCATCCTGCTGAGCTTTTTGTTCACCCCACCCTCCGCCACTGACTTGCTGCACCAAATCGCCCAGGCGTTTGCTGCCACTGCACCACTGTACTTCTGTGGCACAGTGGCCACAGAAGTACAGTGGCCATCAGTAGTGGCCATCACAGTGGCCATCACTAGAGTCCTGAGGGAGAGAACTGGTCTCTCGATCCCCAGAAGCTGCTAGATTGTGCAGCTACTCCATTTATTTTCATTTAATGAATTTTCCCTAGTAGGAAAAGAAGACTGAAACAGCAGGGGCAAAATGGGAGGCTGGCAAGTGGAAGAGGCCGATACCAGGAACCTCTGTGAACGAGGCAAGGCAATAGTGCCATGGAAGCCCCACCTGCACTGGCAGCCTCAGTTAGAGGGTGCCCTGGATGCTGACCTGCTCTTGTGCTCCTCCACCTTGTCCCTTCTAAAAATTAAAACACTTTTTTGCAGGACCGCTTCTTGCTTCTCTGTGCCGGCCGGCTGGCGCTGCTGCTGCTCCATCACCGCAACAGCTCTCGGCAGTGCTGCAGCTTCCGCTACACAAGCACACATGCACAACTCCTGTACATGCTCTAAAGGTTGCTGCTGCTTCAGGGCCTTCCCCTGGAGTGGAAAGGTTTTGCAGTCCGCCTGGCACCAGCACCAAACTGCCCCCACCCCTCATCAGAGGGAAAGGCTTTGCAAAGTCTCTGCGAGGGAGGGGGTCCTTTGGGCAAGACAGGTGGCCGGTGAAGGCACAGCCTGCATTTGTTCACAGAGGCGGCAGAGGAAACTTCAGCAGCTCCTGCTGCATTGCTGGCATGTTGTCATGAATTTTTGCAAGTGTGGCCATGTGCACACACGTGCTTGTGTTCCAAAGGCTGCTTTTCTGTGTGGCTCTGAGGATGTTCTGTCTTATATAAATTGTTAATATGATCACTCTTGTTATCATGGTCACTGTTACTATGGTTTGTGTGTGTGTGGCTTGGAGAGTGTGTGTGTGTGTGTGTGAGGGGGTGCATATGTGTGTGAGCACAGAGGGGTTCTATGTGTTTTTGTGAAGGGCTCCTGCCACCTTCCCAAGGGTTATACTTGTCATTATTGTTGTTACATGCAAAGGGATGCCCATACTTTTTCCTGAGCAATCTGTCCTTAGTTCTTTCAAGATAACCTGGAATTTTAAGTTGTGCTGCTTCTGAGTAGGGCCAGCCTTGTTGGAATCTTTGTCATAGACACACAAAGGTATGAATTGCTGGATGCTTTCAGAATTTGCTCCTGTGTTCTGCTTTTCTCTGTGACTCTCAAAATATAATGTTGTATTTTAATTATTAGCATTATCGTGGCTATAATGGCCGAGTGGATTCTCCTCTCCCACTTAGAGTGACTTGATTCCCTGTGAAATAGAAGGGGTTGTTGCAACAGGAGAATGTGGGCCCAAAGGAATACTATTCACAGAGACACTCAGAATGACATGACATGGCATCATTCTCGGAGTATCAGGAATGAAAGATGGTAGCTGCAACCCTGCAAAAGCAGCTCTGCTGCTAAAGTAATGGTGGCGAAAACAAACACAAATGGAGAAAAGGCCACTGTTTCTACCCATCTAAAATGTTTCACATAGTTTCTCAGCCCCTACAACATCCTGCACCCATTTTGAGTCCTAGTATATATAGGGCAGGGTATGTGTGAACATCAAGTACTATTACAATCCCATGGCAGAACCATGGGATTCTATTACAATAGAACATCAAGTGAACATCAAGTACTATTACAATCCCATGGCAGAACCATGTGTGAACTATGAGAAACCCACAAAAGGAAATGTCCTTTTGACTGAGAAATATATTTCTTTCTAGTCTGAGCTTGTTTCTCTCTACCAGGACAGTTCACATTTCTACAAATATCCACCCCTTACCTGAACGGTCACAGCCTGAACGGGACAATGAAGAGAGAAAATGCTCTCTCAGAAAAGAAGCCACTTACTCGGAGTCTGGCGACAGCTCGGAAATACTGTGGGACGTGGTGGAGCGAGGTGGCGACGGGCACGGCATGGAAGGCGTGGAGGACGTCTGTGCCACAGAAGGCGTGGGGGTGGTCTGTGGACCTGAGGGAGTACTGGATGATTGCACAGAGGACAAGACGGAGGAGTTAAAAGAAGCTAGGATGGAAGAAAGGATGTCTAATTGCTCTGTGGAAGGGTGACGGCTGGGGATTGCTTCTAGATTTTCTCTAGAAGGGAGCCTTCTGGAGAGGAGTTCAAGATTTTCTCTAGAAGGCTGTTGTCTAGAAAGAGGCTCCAGATTTTCCCGAGGAGCCTGCCTGCTAGGCACTAGGTCCAGAGGCTCTCTAGAATTAGATCTTCTGGATAAAAAGTCCAGCTGCTCTCTTGACGTCTGTCTAGCTGATGCGAGTGGGTCCCTCGAAGGCTGCCTTCTAGAAAGGAGATCCAGCTGTTCTCGAGAAATATCTCGACTAGGCAACGTGTCCATTCGATCTCTGGAAGCTTGTCTAGCAGGCATAGTATTGAGCCATTCCCTAGAGAACTCTCTCACTGCCCCTCCAGAGTCTAGTGGTTCTCGTGACCCAAATCTACAGGGAAAAGTATCTAGATGGTCCCTGGATCCCTGCCTCCTGGGGAGAGTGTTCCCATGATCTCTTTGATCGTATCCAGTAGCTATTTCACCTAAGTTTTCAGTAGACCCATGCCTGCTGGGTATGCTTGCAAGGTGCTCTCTAGACCCATGTCGGCTGAGGATAGTGTCCAGCTGCTCCCTTGACCCAGGCCTGTTCAGGATGGTGTCCACGTGCTCCCGAGACCCATGTCTGCTGCCCACAGCCTCTAGGCACTCTCCACAGTTATTCCGGCTCAGCTGCTCCCTGGACATCTGCCTCCTCATCAGCATGTCGAGTTGCTCCCGAGAAGAGTAACGGCTGGCTGGCTGGGAGAGGCTACCTGCTCCCGAATAGATCCTCCCATAAGAAGCAGCAGGAACAGCCCTGTGACCCAGGGTGGAGGTTTTGTACCAGGAGAGATCGTTGGTCATTCTGCCCACAGACGACAGGCCTTGCAAGGCCGGAGGGTACTGGAGGCGATTCTTCAGGATACCTGCACAACAGGAACAGAGGAGGAGGAAGCAAGAATGAGGCATTCCCCGTGAAAATAATTTCTGGGGTTCTTCTGTGGGGAACACCCATCCCTGCCAAACTCACAATTTCTAGGGTGGTGTCAGTGCTCCCCTTACATGTTTAGGCCGGAGGCTTCCTGTCCCACCCTGGGTCAACGTCACACTCAGGATGCCAGATTTATCTGTGGCCAACCACAGCTAGGCCGCTTCTTCTGTCTCCCCTATCCCTGTCCAGGCCAATTCCATCTGGTGTCAGCCCCTTTCTCCTTCTTGGACTCTCGCTGTTGGGCTGCTCCAAGGCCAGGAAGAGGCCCCGTCTCTGCTCCCGTTTCCCCAATCAGGTCGCTCCTCAACACCTCCTTCTTTTGCAGCTCTCTCCCAACCAAGTCAGCTTCCTCTCATGCTCCCTTCAACCGCACCCCTCCTTTCCCCCTTGCAAAACGCAGACTTCAGAGCCAGGTCTCCCCTCAGACAGAAGAAAGCAACAATCTCCAGCAGCAGACGCAGCACCAACCCCTCTGCAGCCCCCTGGTAGCTCCTTTTTCTCGTGGGACACGCTAGGTCACTGCTCTCTGTTGCTGGGACTGCAGCTCCCATCGTTCATCATCACTGACTGTGCTGTTTAGGATAGGTGGGAGTTGCAGCCCAACAAGATCTGGAGGGACACATGCCCCCCAACACTTTTAGATGCTGGGCTCAATGGCCTTGTGGTGGGGGATGGTCTCTGATTCCCCACTCCCCTCTCCTGCACCAATACTAGCTGAGGCTTTACAAACTGCTTTTGCATTCCTGGTGTTAGCACAAAACAAAACTCTGTTTTCCAAACCTCATTAAAAAGAAAATCCTCTGAATACAGGCAGTTTTGTATTTTAAATGCACTCAAATCAGTGCACTTTCATAACTGTGGGAATAGAAATGGAGTTCACTTTGCCCTGATCCCATACACATCTACTTGGGAATAGGTAACATTTTATTGTAGAAAAGGGAAATATATTTTCAAAGTAAAATAATATGATGAGCAACTGTGATCATGCCCAGCTAGAGGCTCCCTGATAATAAAAATCTTTAAAATGATGACAACGATGATGACAACAACAGATGCAGCAGGAGGCAGCATCTGCCCACACCCTCCACTGCCGGCCACTTTGGATGTTCTGAGGTAGAACGTGCCTTTCCGGCCTGCCGTGCTGCTGTCTGTACCGCTGCCCTGCTGCTCCTGCTCCTGCGGAAGCAGCTCTGCAGCATCTCAGGCAGTGCTGGGAACTTGGGTCCCCCTGGAGGATGAAAAGGTGGCTCCCGATATACTCAGGTGGTGTCTGGTGTTCATATAGGGGCTGGATCCAGATTTACGCTGGATCAGCTGCACTGACAGAAGTGGACTTCTGCACCCTCTGCTTCACATGGCAGCCCCCCCAGCTGCCTGAAATGTGACTCAAAGAGTTGGGAGGCTGCTGCCTGGGCTGAACAGTGAAGTGAGGGAGCAGCAAAAATCAGATGAAGAAGTCTTCCATGAGTGGAGCTCTCCTTCTCCTGAAAGGTAGATCCTGGATCCAACCACCACCCCTGCTTTATCCTTTAGAAAGATGCTACTTTATTCTCACTGAGCAGCAAACACAGAGGTTCCTTTTTGCCACGTTTGCATCCTATCTTTCTTCCACGTTTGCATCCTGTCACGGCTGCATCAAGGCTCCCGTCCCTCCATCCTTCCAAGAAGCCCATTGGGTAGGCTGGACTGAGGGAGGGTGACTGATCCAGGCGGAGCCTTGTGGCCGAGGAGAGGCTGTTCAGTCCTAGTCCCACTCTCTTGAGACTAGACCCGTCGGCAAGGCTGTGCTTCTCCTTACCTTTCCTCTGCCGCTGGGTCTGGGTGAGGGAGTTCTCGTCCCCACTGGTCAGGGCCAGGTCTGGCTGGTTGTTGTTGGCTGCGTCTTTGTTAACATCAAACCCAAGCTTTCGCTCTGAGCCCCATTTCTGGAGGGAGCAGGGGTGGACTTCACATTCGCTCAGTGCAGGCCAGTAGGACATCAGGTCATTGCCATCTACATCTGAGGAAGGATGTTGCAGAAGGCCAGGCATATAGTATATGCTGAACAAAGGGTACCCCAACAGGGTAAGATTTTGCCATTTTAACGGTTTGAGGGGCAGCTGATCCGATCATCATCCTTTGCAGTGGATGGTGCAGAACAGCTGGCCATGTGGCACGGCACAGGGATGAGTTCCATGCCACTGCGGCACACGCCATGCACAGCTCACCTGTGGGAAGCCAACAGTGAGCGCGCATTGCCTAAACTACACCTACGCGAAAGATGATGTGCTGGCCATCAGCTGCCTGCCCTCAATGGGACGCCTCAATGCACCTTCATGAGTTGGAAGAGAGATGCATATGCAAAGGAAATTAAACCAGCTATTAATTAATTAACCTCATTTACATGCACAATTACATTTCTTCTTTGTCACAAAATGGGGGCCTCATGAGGTCAGGTCAGTCAACCCTATTTCAGCCTTACGCACCTGATGCCTTCCAGATGTGCTGTACTACAACAACTGCCAGAACTCCCAGCAGGCAGGCAGAGAGTTTGCTTCTGATGCCCTGATAACCACCTGGGATTCAGCCCCCCCACCCCCGCCCGCACCACTGTTCCCAGGATTCGGGAGATCCTCTACCCAGGAGTACTTGCCTTTGGGTGTGGTGTTGGAAGGATTGGTGAGGAGCTTCTCGCTGTGCGCTGCCCTTTTGAACTGGCGCTGGAATCTGCCCCGGAGGTGCACATTCTCCTCGCTCTCTGATGAAGGAATTGAGAGGCTGCGCTCTTCATCGAGGGAGAGGTCACTGTCCGAGTCAGAGTCTTGATCTGAACAGGATACGACATGGTTGAAAGCAGAGAGGGAAGAAAGAGAGGGCCACTTTTCTGTTCAGAGACTTAATGGCTAATCGTTTTCAAATAGATAAACTGCCCTCTCACAAAACAACCTGAGAGGTTTAAAAATCTGCAAAATGGAAAGAACAGACTGACCCAGTAATGAAAGGTCTTCAAAATCTCTAAAGCACAAAACCTTAAACCTTGTTTAATTCCATTTTATTGTTTATGCTCCTAGCCCATCACAAGTTAATACAGAAAGGAAAAATACCCCTGCAATGCAAAACTAAAAGTGGACAAAATAAACAGAGATCAGAGACAATGACTAATAATCCAGAACAAGCTATGATGCCAGGCAGTGTTGGATCCTGCTCTTTGGGCTGGGGCTGGTGGTGGAGACAGGGAGGGAAGGTTGTGTGCTGGGAATTCTGCTTTCATGGCTCCCGGCTGTTATGAGATCTTGACACTTGGCAACGACTTCTTCTATATGGGCCTGCCTGGACCCTAAGATCATCTGCAGAGGTCCTTCTCCAACAGTCCTCCTTGAAAGTACCTTGAAAGAGGTGAGGAGGGCTGTTACTAGGAGAAGGGCCTTTTCTGCTTTAGCGCCCCAATTATGGAACTTGCCTTCCAGAGACGGGCACCTGGTGCAGATGCTTTCCTTGTTCCAGCACCAAGCCAAAACCTTTTTATTCACTCAGTTTTTTAATGATCAGATTGTACTTTAAATGATTTTATATGAAGTCTTGGTACTGTAATTGTTTTGTTGTTTTAACTGTTTTGTTTTAACTGTTGTAAAGCATCATGAGACTTTTCTATACCATGAATGATGGTATAGAAAAGCAATAAATAAATAAATAAATAAATAAATAAATATTCATGAGGTGTGTCTGATATGTGCCAAGAACTAAGGAGAACCCAGGAGTCCTGCAACAACAGAGGGCTGACAGTTGTTCTGAACAGCTCCACTGACTGCATTTCTGTTGCAGCAAATGCCATGGCAGAAAAATGGCTGGGGATGGGGGCTCTCTAGAGCACCTGCCAGAGGAGACAGTGGGCTCCGGGGGCTGGAACTGGGGGTGAGGAGCTGCACAATTTGCTTCTCTTCCAGTCTTGCTACCTCATGTGGGCACCTCACCCTCCTTCAGGGTTGCATTGGCCCTGCCTGGGAGATCCACAGAGGTGTGATGTGTGTAATGCACACAGATATATATTCAATGCATCACAGTAATCAGAATCCTCCTACAAGCAAGTCCATATATATTGGGTGAGAAAGGAAGGCTCGACTGGATGAGACTAGTCATTGCCTCCCTTCCTAGTAAAGTCCTTGGATGCTCAAGGACTTTAAGCTGCTCTTCCTGCAACAGGACCAATAAGAACTTTGTAATGAGAAACATGAAGCAAGATACCCAACAGCATCAGGAAGCCCTCTTATGAATCGGGGAACTTCTTCCTTGCTTCCAAGAACTTCACGCTGTCTTTCATACCCTGCAGATGGTGCCACTAGCAGCATGTCTTACCTGGCCCGGCATCACGATGGAACATGGCTACATCCAGGTCGGTGGGGCCAGCATGATTGAGCAAGTTGTGTTCCAGACTTGAGGCCTGATGTGCCATCATGTTCTCCCTGAAAGTCAGAACACAGGAGATCTCGCATGCCTCACACTAAGTGGAGAGTCTCCAGATCAGTGGTGAAGTATGAGCTGCCAGATTTCAGATACATTTCAGAGACAGGCTCTACTTGAGTCCTGTAGGACTAGTGTCCCTGAGATCCTCAGTACTCAGGCAAGTGTGCTGCTGATTGTGATTATTATGAAGAGAGTCCTTGTCAAATGTTTCATGCTCTTCCAATGCGATCCTATATAAGTCTACTCTGATGTACGCTCCACAGCGTTCAGCAAGGCTTACTCCTAGGTAAGGAAGCATAGGACTGTAGTTTTACACCAGGTATTAACAAAGTGAGTTGGCAGTGAGCTTAATGGTACAGAGCTGGAACAGCAAGAGATCTTTCTAAACAGCCACAGTTACAGCAGAAGGATATCCTGTGAGCTCTATTTTTCTGGCGCATTTTAGCCTGTGCTTCACACCACAGAAATCCACCAAGGGGACAATGAGGTTGACCAGTGGACTGGAGCAATTCCCCAGAAAGACAAAATTACAATGTTTGGGGCTTTTTAGTTTAGAAAGATGGTGAGTCACAGGGGAGAAAATGGACAGCCAGGAGATTTCCCCCCATTATAATACTAAAAACTATATGCCTCCTCCAGGATCATAGGCACTGTGCCCATGTTCCCCAGTTATTGGGGTGCATCGGTGGGACGGTGCAGCTGCACTCACATCCTGCTTGTGGGCTTCTTGCAGGTACCCCATTGACCACTATGGGAACTGAATGCTGGACTAGACAGACCTTTGGACTGATCTAGCAGGGCTCTTCTTACATTCTTAAGAGACAAAATGGTGGATATGCGAACGTCCATTTTATTAAAAATCAATTCCTATTCAGGTGCTAGACCAGACTAAGAGCATTTTCTTTCCCACCAAATTAAATTCCTATTGCAGGTGGCCATCTAATCCTTGGTCTGGGCCACCTCAAGGGATAGAGTCAGGGCTATGAGGCCATCAGTGAAACTGTGGATGAGAACACACAGCAGGGAACAGAAGAAATTGCTGCAAGTGATAATGGGGGCAACATCTGCTCCATCATTCCATTTGCTTCGGGACTCAGGCTGTACAGTAAAGGCCCAGCAGCCTGCCTGAAGTTCCAGAAGGAAGGATATCATCTCCAGAGCTGGAAATGAGGCCCCAACCCTTTAGTTTGGCAGACACATTTGGAAAGTTGAGAAACGGAAGTAGTTGCTATGGGTGGAGAAGTGGCCTGTTATTTAACCCCACTCCTTTTCTAGAAGGTGAACGCAGGAGACCAGACCAAAGCAACTTGCCCAAGAACCTCAATTCTAGGCAAGGGTGGGGGCCTGAGCTCCAAACTGGGAAAGAAATTCTTGTGAACCCCAGTAAAGATGGTGCGGGAGGGCAGCACGCTGCTTTGCTGCAGGGCAGCTTCTCAGTTAAAGGGGAAGAACCCTCTCTAGATATCAAATAAAGACCAGGAAGGGCAGGGAGAACAGCAGGTGCCAGGTGAGGGGTCCATGGAGATGTTGGTGTCCACGGTCACCGCGACAGAGACCTTCACTGCATGTTCTCAGGCTGACCGGGAGGAGAAAGCAGCAACCCTTTCCTAATGCATCCTACCTGAGGTAGCCCCGCTGGCTGGAATGGGTGCGGGCTGAGCGCACGCTGCTGACAGAGGAGATGGTGGAGGCTCCCAGGGTGATCCGGATGAGACCGCTCTCCTCAAAGAGGGCTGTGTTGTTGTAGGCATTGGGGCCCTGGGATGGAAGAGGAAAAACGCACGGAGCAAATGCACACGGTGCTTCCATGTATTGAGAGGACTGTCCCCTTTAGAAGCACCTGGCAGGAGGAAGACACCCTATTTGAGGATGCAGAGATCACTGCTATAACAAGGTGAGAAAAAGACCGGGACTCCTGCATGCTACAAGCAAAGCATTAGGAATGAGGCCCAGAGTGAGTTGCACTCCCTCCAGCCTCTGGCCAAACTGTAAGGTCAAAACTAGTCTCACCTGCCCGGTTCTGGAGGCTTCCTCCCCTTGACCCTTCTTGCCAAGGCAGGCCAGTGTGCAGGCTTCCTGTGCTTCTTTGTTCAGCACACAGAAAAGAAGCAGGACTGCCAAGCCCTGTGGAGAAGAGCAAGAGGAGCTGTGAACCTTGAATGCAGAAAGTGGCTTCATGTCTAGCCAAACCATGGCTCCATCTACCTCAGTACTTTTCATAGTGACTGGTAGCCCCTCCTCATCTTTTCAGGCAGGGGTCCTTCCCAGACCTGCCTGAAAACGCCAACAACCGAAAGTGTTCTAGACCCCTTTATAAAAATTTAAGCAGCCAAGGCCATTTTTGGAAATGAACTAGGAGAGCTGGATGCCGATCCGTCTAGCTTATACGGGTGGTAATGATCCAGACTTTTCCTCCTCGTTATACAGCACATGCAAACGCCCCACTTAATACAAGCTGTACTGCTCACAGTCCTTTTAGTCAGAAGAAATCTAATACTCAGAGGGAACCCTTCCATGTTCCACAAGAGGGAGCAGTTGCTCTGCATATGAGTTCAAGGCTAGGCCAAACCGAAGCATTCCAAAGGTAGCCACAGCACTCTCAGCATTCGCCAAAGGAAGCCTGGTGAGTGAAGAGCCCTTGCAGGACTAGCAAATTAGCAGCACTGAAACAAACATGCAGCTAGCACCAGATATTTAGAAAAGTTTGCAAATTGGCTTTTGACTATGGCTTTCCAAGTCTTAGCAAGTGACTTCTCTGCTTGTGGAAACAGTGGTTTCTGTTTCCTCTCTCATTAGACTTCATTTCTTGTCTGTTCATTTTGCTGATTTGTCCCTTGAATGCTCTCTACAAAACTTCTAATGTATTTAAATATATCTGAAAATTGTGCTTCCAGCTGGGGAGCTTCCACTGCAAATTGCAGGTAAGCATGCAAACCTGTGGGTGAGTCTGCAGAGTTCCTGGCTTGGATCCACAACAAAACTTCACAACCAGTTCTGTATCTTGCATTTCCCAAAGAGCAGTAAGATGTTGCTAGGCCCAGATCCATGGGTCTCTGCCCTCAAATCAATTTCAACAGACCCATGACTGATTCTACAGAGCCCTGAGTCTCTATTTGTACCAAAAGCGTTTTTTCCAGTTTAATTACCACACAAGAGCAATTTTCAAAGGTGATTGCCTGTTGGGAGGAAAGAGTTAATTGACTCCTCACATGTAAAAACACTCACCCAAAATATATATATTTGCATGCCAGCTCCACATAGGAATAAATCCCCTTTTCCCCATAGGCTTAAGATGATCTGGACTGAGGAACAAAGTAACTGAAGAATTTATTTTGAGATTATTTGATGAGAAATGAATTGTCTGGCTTTGTGCCTTGTGGAATTTCCTTAAATCCTCATAATTATATCTATACTTGCACAAATAGATATAATTGAAAATATACAGGTTTTAGTCCAGGGCCCCAACCCCTTCAAGTGCTGAGCAATGCAATGCCTTTGCAGCCCAGATACCAAGAACAAGAGCTGGGGTGCTTCCAGAGGGGGCTTCTCTCTCCCAGTTGCCCTGCCTCGTTCACAGGAGTCTGGACATAGGTGTCCCCCACCTGTACCCCCCATGTCTTCCCACTGCATCTTCCACATTGTCTTACCACAAGCAAAGGCCCTTTAAAGGAGAAATGATGGCATACTGCACAATGTCTTTGGATTGGTACTGGTGGGAGCTGCTTGTATGGAAACAGCCCAGATATCATTTCTTCTTGAACACCTACCCTATTTGCTTATCTGATGCAGATTTTATGCAGAATGGTATCCTATAGTGCTGGGCCTCAAGTCAAGCATCACCCTGGAGGAGCACCCAAGAGGCACAGTTCATCTAGGGTACTGGTGAAGCTTAGTTCTAGTTCCCACCAGAAGCCAGTCCTCTTCCTCTCTGCCTCCTCCATTGAATTCTGCCTAATCCATCTCCATCCTAGTACAGCAAGTTACCTGGAGACTGCAGAGGATAGTGTAGAGGTAGTGGAAAGCCAGGACACTGTTGTTGACAGCCAAGAGGCCAAAGAGCCAAGTAGTGCTAATGACTAGAAGCAGAACGAAGGAGCTTCGCAGTGTCAAGCTGGAGAGAGAGAAAGAGAGGAGAGGAAAAGCCACCCAGAGGGACAGACCTGGAGGTTAGATTTTGTGGATAAGCGACAGTTCAAAAGACATTAATGCAAGGGGTGGAAGAAGAGCAGCATTATCCCACTCACCAGTTTTGCAGAACCATAGAAACAGGCCCCCAACAAAGCTATGTTAAAAATGAGGGGGCCTTTGTTAGCTCCTCTCCCAAGCAGTTCAAATCAGTACTGGCTAAGCAGTGAGAAAACTCACTGTTCCTGCCTCAAACAATCTCACTTGTGGAGGAGGCAGAGAAAACAGCTGCCATTTGAAAGGTCAAAGAGGAGGCTGATTGAGAGAAAGTGTTGTGGAATTTTACATTTTTATTATTGTTGTTGTGGTGAAAGTGTAAAGATGCTAATGGAGGGGGAAGCTGTGGCTCAGCCACTTGAAAAAGGGAAAGTTTAGCCAGACAGCAGGTTTGGGCCGCAGCAGAGGATTGCAGATGGTCAGTACTCACAGAACAGATTTCTTCTTGGCTTCTTTCTGGCCTGGTGAGCACAGCATCTTTGCCACCAGCAGAAACATCACCCCATTCATCTGGAAGCAGATAGGCTGGTTAGGTGGAGCTCAAGTGCTGGCATGGAGCAGGCCCACTCTCTTAGCGGCTCTGCCCCCCCTCCCCCACAACCATCTTCCAGGTGGCACAGGATGCTCAAGAGCCTTCCTCTCTTGCTCCAGCTCATGGCAAGAGAGCAAAAGGGACAGGGGAGCACAAAGGACGGGTCACAACACTCAGAGCATTGCAAATCCGCAGAGCAATGTGGTTCAAAATTCCCAGGCATATGAGAGAAGAGACTGAAGATAAATGGAGAATGAAGGTTGAAGGCAGTGGGAGGGTGGCAGCGGGAGAAAGAGAACAAAGCAACAGCATCGAAAGCAGGCTTCCCCAACCTGGTGCCCTCCAAAGGTTTTAGACTTCAACTCCTAGTAGCCCTAGCCAGCATTTCTGTGTGTCAGGAATGCTGACGTCATAGTCCAAGACATTTAAAGGGCACCAGGCTGGGAAAGGCTGATCTAAATGTTCATAACAGGAAAAGGAAGTGGAGTAACAGCAGGACAGAGACCAGTTGTGCTGAGTAAGTAAAAGGAAAAACAGTAGCATCCTGGCAAAGAGAGTGAACACACAAAATAAGTGCTTACCACAATGACAAGAGTTATGGGCCCTGCAAAGCTCCAGATCAGTTTATCGTGGATGGAAATCCAGCAGAAATCTGGGTTCCCATAGCCCTCTGGATCCAAGCCAACTGATAACCCTGACCAAAAGGAAGGAGGAGTTCAGTTGCACAGTCTGTTTTCCACATCTCCTGGTTAAGATACTTTCTCCATTCCTCTGGGTCAATTTAAGCCAGGTTTCTCTCCGTGTTACCTTTGCTCTCCTTGCCACTAATAGAAGAGTGGGAATGAATGGTCCGAGCTGAACTCTCCCACCATCTTGCTCCTAAGACAGCATTTATTCTCATGGAAGTCTATGCTAAGTCTAGGAACCCCAGCCCTGCAAGAGTGGCCTTGACCACTCCATCAAAGAGACTTGGGCCTTTGGATTCCCAAAGACAGATGATTCCAACTTTCAGAGCAGGAGCAGGTTCAGTTAGAAACAGCAAAAACAACAACAGGTCCCCATGCTGGTGCCTTCCAAATGTTTTGGATTACAACTCCCAGCATTTCTGACCATTTCTGGCTGGGACTGATGGGAACTGAAGTCCAAAATCTCTGGAGGGATACAGTTCAGGCTTTTACAAGCAAACCAGTCACAATGCAGTTGGGAGACTCATCCCTCTATATTGGCTTTCCCCACCATGGTGTTCTCCAGTCTATGCTGGCTGGGAAGGATGAGAGCTGCAGGCCAAGACATCTGGTGCTGCAGGCTGGGAAAGATGGCTCTCTAGATTTGTTCTTAACTAAGTAGGCCCAGTGTGTCAATCTGCAGAATCCATTTCCTTCCACCCAGCAGGGAGATCCTGACGTTCCAAACATGTCAACACTTGCCTGTGATGATGGCAGGGACCCCCCAGCCAATGGCGTAATAGAACCTCATAGCTCCATAGTTGATGTTGCGGGCTTCAGTCTGCATGCGGTAGATATGGAGGCCTTGCACAAAGAGCCAAGCAAATGTAGAGAGGAAGAAGTAGTGGAGCAGGATGGCAATCACAGTGCAGAGGAACTGAAAGCAGCAACATTACCATTCAAAAGAGGTCCCTCAAACAGCTGGCCCTAAACGCCCTCTTACTTGGAACAGATGTTCAAAAACATTTCCCTTAAGTCCTTCCTTGGTGTTGGGAAGCTGGGGAAGCAGCGTGGTGTGTACACCCTGGCCTAAGCTCCCATGCTAACATCTTGTGTGGCAAAGAATGTGGATTCTAGAAGTTGGAGCAACAGGAGGACAACTGAACTCAGTTGCCCTTGCATGGAAAACCGGGGAAGTTCATGGAGGGATTTCAAGGCACACGCATTCTTCATGCAGAAGCCAAACGATGCATCAGGCTGATCACAAAAGTGTGCAGCTGAAAGGAGCTTTTCTTTACTCGAGTGGGAGCATGCCTGTCCCTTAATTCAGATCGGCATAACCACACACCAGGAGGGGAGGATTAAACCTCCCCTGCCCCCGGATTTCTTCCTGAACTCCTCCACCCTAAGAAGAAGGTAAAAGCTCCACTGATACCAAAAAATGTTTTGCTTCTTTCTACTTCCCCAGCAGTGGTGGTAGGTTAGGGATTCAAGGACAAAGGGTGTGTCCTTTTGCTGGAGTCTTTTGCTTCTGATCCAAATTGGGCTACACATGCTTACATGTGAGTAAAGACCCAGCTAACTTTCAGCTAATGTAGTCTGGCTCCTAGTTGTCACAACCTTTGGCCCCAGACCCTGTCTTCTTTATTTACAAACATATTTTGCCTTTCTTCACACTCTAGTATGGGGTGGGCCATTATTTGACTGCAACTCCCATCATCCCTCACCACTCTGTGTGGTCGGGGCTGGTGGAAATCCCCTTCTCTGCTTCAGCGGGTGGGCTCCTCCTGGGCCCCTGGCTTCCCACTGGGGAGCTCCCCTTCTGGCCTCTAAATCCACCGCTCCCAAGACTTGACCTTTGCTCTTCCCCCTCCTCCTCCTCTCACCTGGTTTTCAGTGCGATTGATACCCAAGAGGAAGAGCAGCTCAGAGAAAAACAGAGTGATGGAAACATTGCAGTGGATGCCTCGAGTGTTGGATTTGAGACCTTTCAGGCATATCAGGAAGAAGAATGTCAGCAGCAAGCACAGAAGAGAGAGAGACACTAACGAATAGGTCACAATGGCCAAGGTCTCCAGATCACCTTCCAGCTGCTGCACAGAGAAAGCAAAGGTGAGAGGAGAGGTCAGACAGAAAGCCGGTGCTATGTGTATTGTACTAATACTTGCAGGACATTATTTCACACAAAAAAACCTTCCAAGGTGACAGACACCCTCATGAAAGCACCAAAATAAACACATCCAACAAAAAATACCTAACATTAATCTAAATATGCAATTGTTTAATTAAACAATGTATATTCCTGCTTTCTACATGACAACAAGCCTCCAAGATGGCTGACAAGGAGTGAAAAATAATTGAGCAACATTTAATATTTGACGTTTCTCTTGGCCCAGCTTTGCAAAGAAGTGACAGGGAGATGTCTTCGTGGTCTTCTCATGACTTTGCCTGCTCAGGAATACTAATTAGGTGTTGCATGCTTTCCACGAGCATTAGCCTGTGTCTGCGCTCCATGCGCCCTACGCTAATTGCCAGGGCAAACTAAGTCTGGAGGTGCTGCCATGTTGGTTGCTCATGGGTGGCTCTATTTTCATTCCAAGAGGGGGTGAGAGGTGAGCACAGGCTTCCACTCTGGCCACGGAAGGTGGCAGTGAGAGGTGCCGAGCCTTGTTAGTCCTCTGATTGTTCCACTGGGCTACATCACAACAAGGGCTTTTCCTCCAGTCCCGTTCCAATACCGGATGTGAATGGGTTGTGACAAAACCCTTCTGATGGTAAAGCGCATGGTGAGGTAAGATGAGATGGTAGGAGGAGCAGACTTCCTCTTTCCTTAGCCTTTGCGGCACAAATTAGACCTGCCTCTCCCTTTCACAGATGAATGGGGCAGGGGCCCGAGTAAAACGAACATGGCTGCCTCTTCATAGCTACTTCTCCTCTTAGAGATGCTGTGGCCCACCGCTTTGATTTCACTGGCAGCTCCTTGGCTCGCACGCCACATACACCCCCACGTGACCTGCTACTTCTCAGCCCCTCCTCACGAAAGGTGCAGCATTACCTCTCGGTGGGAGCTGTCCATCAGGACCCCAAAAGTGCCAAACTGGGAGCAGTGGCAGCGGACGTGTGTAGTGTTTCGGTACACAAGGTCGCAGTCCCGTACTGTCCAGAAGCCAGCGAGCTCACTCCTGCAGTCACACAGAAATCCAAAAGAAGAAGCCTCAAAGGAAAGAGTCTTCAGGATCACATTTTCTTTTAAAGGCATGATGAAACTCACTGAGGTTCTAGGAAATATGCTACTAGGGCTCAGCTATCTGGCGCCCTCTAGATGTAGTGGACTACAAATCCCATAAGGCCCAGACAGTACGGCCAATGGTCAGGGATTCTGAGAGCTGTAGTCCAACACATGTAGAGGGCTCCACCTTCCCTGCCCCATGCTAGACATTGGATGTGTTCATGCCAGGAGTGGTTTTCTGTAAGAAAAGCTTAAGGATGTCTTCTGAGGAACAGGAGAGAGTTGATGATTTCTTTTTCTGATGGCTAAAATGGTTGAGCTCCAGCATGAATGCTTGGGAAGGCTTGGCAGACAGCGCCACACAGGACCACAGACAGAATGGTCCCAGCACCGTGCATATTTCATGATAGTTCTGTCCTGGATATTACACTTGAATATGATTTTACTGTAATAATGTTTTGCATGCTGCTTGGGTCTATCAAGTGGGAGCTACAGATCCCAAATAAATTAGTGAAATGAGAATCATTGTGCAGTGTGGCTGGAGAACTGAGATTCATTTCAGACTTGTATGTACTGTATACTCCTGGAAACTAGGGCTGAAGGTGCAAACCTCTTTCACTGAAAACAGGTGCTGAACTCCTTTTGGCGCAAAGACCAATTTTTTTCAGAGGGCCCTCTTGGGGTGGAATGTAGCCAAAGGCAAGGTACTCATTGCAGCATCTTTTAGCTTAAATTTCTACCCGCAGCAACAACACCTTAGGAGCTGCACTTCAAGCTTTTAGAAAGGGAGGAAAATATGCAAAAGTCAGGAAACCACCAAAAGATCAGGTGGTTGAGGGGAAGGAGGTGGGGTGAGAGGAAGGGGGCATGCCTATCTGGGGTAGATTTAGCCTTGAAGATGCAGTCATCAGGCAATAAGCTGTCACACAGGAGTGCTGACCTGTGTCCCTCAGCCACCAAGATTTGAAAGAGAAAATGACTGCATTCTCATCACTACACCACACCCAAAAAGAAAGCGGTGGAGGAAGTGGGAGTAGGACCTGGCACTTTCTGCATTCAAGGGTGAGACTTCGTTCCCCAGGCTCTCGTGCCTTTACCAGCAGCTTTCTGGAACCTCGAGCTACATGGAATTGATCTATGGCCTCTAGGACAGGGGTGGGCAGCTTATAGCCCTCCAAAGGATTTGGCCTACAACTTGTACCCATCCTAGCCAGCAAGCCAATAGTGAGAGATCACAGGCATTGCAGGCCCAACCTTCTGGAGGGCCACAAGCTGCTGGTGCCTGCCCTAGGAGGAGGGCATGGGCAGCAAAGCAACTTACTGGCTAGAGTGATTCCACTGGACACAGAGGGGCTTGCTGCGGTTGGCAGTCTCAAGCAGACGGAATTCCAGCACCAACGGTGCCTCCAAAGTGCTTTGGAGAAAAGTGTGGTTGCTGAACACAGACACACTCATGATAGGAGAATTCATAACAGGGTTTTTGGGCAGCCTGTGAAAAACAGAGAAGCCTTGTTAGCTGATGCCAGAAGCCAGCACCCCCAATTCTAGAAGGGACGCAACAACATTGCAGTGGGAGTCACTGTCACCAAGCTGCTGCTGCTGCTGCTTTATTCTGAGCAACAGGTGTCCAGGGGGAGCTCAGTGGCACTCGCAGTGCCCAGCAGACTAGCAAAGAGCCCAGCAGAGGAACAAGCCCCAGGCAATACCTGAGGTTGCGCCGATCCAACTGGTAGCGGGCAGGCAGAAGCCCTCCGATGGTGCGATAGATGATGAGGATGAGGATAGTGACAGCGGGCTCGGGTTCCGGCAGGGAGTCCTTTGGGGGAGGACTTTCTACTGTGTCATTGGTTTCATTGTTGATTAGTGAAAGTGTTGCTGTGGTTGGAGCTGGAGTCAGGGAAACAAAACAGGAAGGAACTGAACACATAGTTGCCTTGTCCCATTCTGAGTCAGAGCAAAGAAGGAAGAGAGGCCCAAGATGGTCATCTCTCTTGGGTCTTATAGTTTGACTTCAGTGGTATTCGTGACTCTCAGAGGACAACATCTGAACATCTGCAAAAGGACAATTTTCCCCTCAAAGTCCAAATGGAAAGAAGTCTTCTTCTGGAATGGAAGCTATATGGAGAAGGTGCTGCCTCCCAACCAAAGATCAAAAGTTATTTTAGGTCCTTCTTTAAGGGGAAGCCAATGCTCCTTTTCTAGAAAAGCCCCCTGCTAATAAATGCCTAACATTATACAGCCACTCTCTTAAACTGCAGAAAGGCAGAGCCAGAAGCACTCTGCTGGAGTTTCTGCAATGACATGCCCCCCTCAGCCCTGTCTTCATGGCCCTGCCCAGAGAACAATCAATGGGTAAGGATCAATAGGGCACAAACCAGGCGTGCTGGAAGGCGACGATGGCTTCTAGTTCCCTTGGAACGGGCCTGGTGGAGCAGACAGTCACTCACCTTCAACTTTGGAGGGTGCAAATATGGAAAGCGGGAGCACCACGTGAGTGTGTGGGTCCCACATGGCCTGGCCACGGAAAAGAGTGCTGTGATAACGTGGGTAGCGCCTCCTGAGCTGGGTGTGGTTCTCCATGCGGTCAATACTGAGCACTGTTGGGGAAAGGGAAAGGAACGAGAAAGGGACTGGAACCTCCGAGTTGGCCTTTCGGTGTGAATACAGGGAAACAAGCATGGTCCTCAGGCTACCTCCAGTGGTGCCTGGAACCTCTAGCACAAATATACCGACTGATGCTCATCCGTGAAGCAGGTTTCCTGCTCTCAGGGCTACTTACTATATGATATCCTAAGTGCAGAGAGTGGGCCTGTTCAGATAGATTTGCCTGATTCTGAGGAGGAGGAGGAGGAAGAGGTGTGGGGAGGCAAGGACTTTGAAGTTCCTAGATTCCCTCAGGCAGAAAGAGAGAATCAGCCAGCTTTGGAAGGGGTGGAAGTGTTTTCAGGATGGGACAGGGAGCAGATGTGAGACCCAGTCCTTGGCCCAGTAAGGAGGTGAGGGAAGAAACAAGCTGTTCAGGTAGAAAGTCTCCAGCCATCTTGCCCTCAAGCCGCAACCCCCCCCCCCCCGAAGGGCAGAAACAGAAGCTTTACTGAAAGGAAGAGAAGAAGGGGGAGATTCCAGTTTGGATTCAACTCTTTACATAGGCAGATGTTTCTCCTGAACCTTTGGTAAAAGGTTATTTAAAGTTCATACCATCCTATCATTTGTTACATTTCAATACAAGAATTGCACTTCAAGGGACTGTCTTAAGTCTGATAACCAGAAAGAGGGAAGGGACCAGCTCACAGTATCAATGCCATAGATGTGCACAGACAATGGAGTCATGGTAATATATTCAAAATCCACAGCTGGGAAAAACCTTTATAAGGACCATACAAAATTCCACAAAAATAGGCAAGCTCATGAATATTCTAGAACTCTTCATCAGCCTAGATAATATTTATTTATTTATTTATTTACTTAAAACTTTTCTATACCATCCCATACTTAAAATTCTCAGGACGGTTTACAACAAATTAGTCTAAAAAATAAAAATAAGAATAACAATTGCCCAGCAGATAGATAGAAAAAGCAGGGGGTGGGGGAAGAAACTGAAAAGTCCAAAACACTTGTCCAGATGTTATGGCCATGAAGCCGGCAATTTAGATAGACCCACCTAGTTTGAGGAACATTTTTCAAGAATTAAACCCTGAACACTTTGGAGGAGTTTTGGTTGATTCTAATAAAAGTACTGTCCAGCTATGGATCTGGGATTTTCAATCCGCATGGATTAGCATGGGTAACTTTGATTTTTAAATAATGGTACATGCATGCTTTTGTAAGAGGAGACATGCATTCTGCAATCTGCTACAAAAGTTTCCTGTACAAGCACATAACATGTTTTTCTGCTACTTTTGTATGCATTAGACATGAGTTCGTGAATCTCTTGTCCCCAAAGTGTAACCGTGGAAATGGCCCTCTGTTTGTAGAAGTTTGCCTACAAAACTGAGAAGGAACAGAGTGATATCATGTGGGTCAAGAATGGTATCCAAAACTGGCCTTTCTGCTACTTTATACTTCCTTTACACAAATTAACATGAATTTATGAATATGTGGGCCAACTTTCCGCGACCTGTGGCTAGTGTGGCTGGGAATTGGGGGAGTTGCAGGCCAACACCTCTGGAGGGCACGAGGTTAAGGTTGCTCTTTATGATGGGTGCTTCAGCACTGGAGCTTGTGGGACCATCATTCTGGCATTCTAGCTCTAAAGTGTAAGTGTTGGGAGAAAGTCCCTAAAATGAGAGCAATGCACAGTGGTTGACACCTGAACTGAGTCCCCAGCTCTCATATCAAGCGATAAAGGTCCAGTTGATGTCAACATGGTCACCGAGAGCCAAGCATCAGCCCTGTTCTTTGTTATCCAGCCAGAGCCAATGCAGTGTGGTGCCTTGCACTTGACACAGGAAAGGTGCAGCTAGGGTTAAAAGCTAAAAGCTTGCCCAAAGGCTACCAGTTCACTTGTGCACCTAGGAGTATGACCAGAGAGAGAATGTGGTAATCTACCCTAATTCCCAGAAATTTTCCCCTGTCCCAGTCTCAGAAATGCTGTAAGACTCTCTGGATAGCATTCCCCAGCCTAGTGCCCTGCACATGTACTGATCCCTGAATATGTACCATTTTTAATCATCAGCAATGATTGCTGGGGCTGATGGGGACTGAGCTCCAAATCATCTGGGGGACATCAGGTTGGGCATGGCTGGTCTGGCGTATAGCAAAAAAAAAAAAGAAAGAAAGAAAGAAAGAAAGAAAAGAAAAGTTTCTAGGCCTTTGTAAATGCGCTGTTAATAAAGAAAACCTTCAAGACACTGGGAAGCCTGTTGGACCCAACCCAACAGCACTTATTTGTTTAGCTAGTACATGGTTATCTTTTGTTGTATAGAAAATAATAATAATAATAATAATATCATCATCTGTCTGCCAGCCAGAAATTCACCCATCTAAGTGTAAGCTAACCTTGGGCCGCTAGACAACCTTCACCAGATCATAGAGATCTTCAGGATGGTCGGTGGACTCCCACTGTTAAACTGCCAGTCAAGGTCTTCCAGCCCTAGCAGTGCTTCTTCTTACCAATATTGGGGGTCACCACACCAACAGGGTTGAGGTAGGTGAGTTTCATGTTGCTGGCCAAGGTGCCCGTGTACTCTCTCAGTTTCTCCATCAGGCCTGCGCTGCCGTGATCGTTCTGCAGCAATGCGTCCCAGTGCTCCTGGTTCTCTAACGCAAGCACTGAGCTGCCAGCCCACAGCAAATTCTACAGAGATTAGAGGAGGAACTTTAGAGGATTCAAAGCTGTAAAGTCCCCCTCCCCAGTTAAACCCTCCCACTCCCCACACTATGGATTAGGTCTGTTAACAAAATGGTACTTTTTCTTTCTTCTCCCACTTGCAGCCCTCTATGCCACCCAAAAATCTGCTCTGGTGAATCACCCAGCATGCTGGAGCAGATTTGAGATACATGGCGCAAGAGGAATTGTTCCCTCTCTGGATCTGCTGGGAGAAGCAGTTCTGTCAGTGTAATGACACCACTGGATTCAGTCCTTTGTCTTTTAGAAGACTATAGATTTTTTTTTAAAAAAAATCATATTTATGCCTGCTTTCCTTTCATGATGGTGCCTCTAGGCTTTCTACTAGAACTGTCTGTCGAACTCATTAGCAGGCATTAGATGCATTCTTAAGCTACTAAACAACTCAGTAAGGACGAGGAATATATTCAAACTCCCTGGATTAATTGATTTCCTAAAATACAAGTGGGCAATGCATGGCCCCATGGCCATTTTTGCAGTGTCTTCGTGTCCCTGTGCTGCCACTGAATATTCTGCTATGGCAGAGGCAAAACCCAGGGCCATTTTGCAGGAAAACCAGAGGTGGGAGTGTGTCCCTGCTTTGCAAGCAGAATTGCACTCTGAAAGCTTCCCACAAGCCTCCTGGAAGAACAATTCTGCTTGAAAACAAAAGGCCTGCCTTGTTTCCCTGCATAATCACTGCAATGTTGCCATTGTTGGTGTGCAGCCTCTGGTGGATTCTGGAAGGGAACAGTGTGTTCCCCACACCCTGGAAGTTTGTTTGTTTTAAAGTTTATAGGCTGCTGAGTAACCTGACAGGGCTCTCTAAGTGGCAAACAACAATAAAATACAAGACCAGTATTACAATTCCTAGTTATGGGAAGAAAGGAGGAAAAAACCTGCTGGTAGTAGAACAAGATTTCACAGACAACCAGTTGTTAAAGCCGGGTCTCACAATACCTATGATAACGGACAGTTTCTGCCTGGCACCAAAATGAAAGTAGTGACAGTGCCTGGCAAACCTCTCTAGGAAGCCCATTCCAAAGGTGGGGGCAGCCACCAAAAAGGCCCTTCTTCTAATCTAAGTTGCCCACCCCTGCACTGAAATGGTGCTTAAATGTAAGGAAATGGTATCTCCAGAAAATCTCCACAGCTCTCCTCTAGCATTTACCTTCTTCCCTGCCCTGGATCTTCTGGACAGATACGTGGATCTTTTAGAAGGCAGGCACCTAGGTGCATATGAAAGGCTGACTCACATGATACACCCGAATGTGCTACCATTTCGCCTGTACTTCCCTTATCAGACTTTTTTGTGGTCTACACAGCTTTCTCAAGAAGTTGCTAGAGAGATCATTCATCCTGGCGCTTTGGAAGTCATGGAAACCGTAGGAGCCAGAGGCTTTATTTTGGAATTATAGAAGTGTTGTGTAAGACAGAATATAAACTGATCTCGCTTGCAAAATTAGTGGTGGCAGGGAGATCTGACTGCAACTCCCATCAGCCCCAGCCATCATGCCTAATTAGTCAGTGAGGAATACTAGGAGTTATATTCAAAACATCTGGAAGGCCCCAGAATGGGGACTCACATGGGACTCACACTCTTTGGGGAGAAAGAAGAGCAATTCTGGGGTGTTTCCTCAACTGGGCATCTCAACTTATTCTTCTGCATTAAAAAACATACACCAGGAAAAGTAAGTTGAAGAGAGCATGGCCTGGTTCACACATTATGACCAACACTGGTTGACTGGGGCCCTGTGGGAGCTAGATATTCCCTTAAGTTTCTACAGGTCATCTTTCTGTTGTGAGTTTCCTAGAGTTCTGGCAATTCAAAAAAATCCACAGAATGTGATTCATGCCCACTTCCTAGAGTAACCTTTCCTAAGATGATGCCTTCCAGATATGTTGGACCATCATGCCCATAATACCCAGCTAGTGTGGCCAATGCAGTTGTAGTCCAACACATCTGGAAGTTTCCAGCCTGGGGAAGGATCCTACCCACTTGTAAGGTAGGAGAAAACTCTTCCCAACAATTCAAATTATCCTCCCTCCATTTCTGCAGCCTGCTCAGTAACAGGAAAGGCCCTCACCTCATTGAAATGGGCATCCTGGGTGGCTGTCAAGCCAAAGCCATGCTGTCTGCTCTCAAACGCCATCAAGTGAGACAGCAGCCGGTACGTGATGTGAACATCATTGCCAAAGTAACGCTCCATCTGGTCTGTCACTGCCCGTAGCTGGTGGGCCAGCTTCTTGGCTTCTATGGTGTTCAGTTCTGTCTCATTCCTTTCCAGACCATCCAGCTACCAACACAAAAAAGGAGGAGGAATCATGCAGTATCTCTCACAATTGTGGATTCTACCTCCTGCTTTAAAAAGCACAAACCAAACAGAGAGTCTCATGTCATGAATGAAGTAGCACAGACTGGGGATCACTGGAACCCTGGATTTCAACATACATTACTGGTGACAAAGAACTAGCCCTTCGGAATAACTGCTACTTATAAGGATAATCACCATGTCAGTGGCCAAGATCTAGCACTGACTCTCTTTCTCAGGAAGAGACATCCCAGCAATTTGCTTCCCCGTGAGAAAAGGAGCATCTGGTTAACAGATGGCTCTGCTATTTAATCCTTTGCAAAACATAAAAATTGTGGGGTGAAACAGTGATTTCATGTTGAAACCTACCAATTTAAACAAGTTAGTTTTGAATCAATTGCAAAAGCCTGGCTTGCCTAAATGTCCCCTAACAATTTTCTGTGTTTATCTTCAACACTTATTATTACTTTTCCCTGATGGTGTGTTTGAAAAAGCCACATGGGTCCATGATGGAACTATCACTGTCAAGTCAATTTACTGTGCCCAATGTATATGATGTCCTTTCTCTTGCAACTATATTATTAAATGAAAAGATATTTTTATAGATCAATGAATGATACAAATACCGTTAATGAAAGGGAAAGCATCAATCCTTCAGGAGTTACATATAAATATTATTTCTATATGGAAATAAATTCCCCTGACTGCTGGGTGGCACTACCCCGGTTCAATTATAATTGGTAATTGTACAAACAACAGGGGAGAAGGAAGGAGCCTTCCCATGGAAAGGGCGGGGGAACAGACTGTTCTGCTGGCTTCCCTGATTCCAAAGTAATGGCCTCTTCTCATCCCACGCAACTCAGCTGAGTAGTGGATTGGATTGGCACACAATTTATGGCCTAGTCAATTTCAGTCCTATGGGGAAGCTTGGTGCTTTGAATTCCCTCTCTGGGTTGAAGTTAGAAGCACGCAGACACTGGCATCCTTTACGTTTCAGAAGCTACAGCGGCACAAATCACAGCTTGTACCATCACAAATAGTGTGGATCAACCAGGGCCAACTCTAGGTGCATGTGAAGGACAAACATAGCCCTTGAGTTCACAGAATGAAGCTGCTGGATCTTGTATCGGTTTTTGCAGGAAGAAGCTCACTCTTACACGTGGGGGTAACGCAGATGCTAGAAGAGTGGCCTGCACCAACTTAACATGCACACAATGCACAGGCACTCTGTGGCAGGCACTTGAGGGTTTCTTGACAGACAAATCAATGTGAAAAATATTCCCGTAATATCAACACTTGAAAATCGCTGCTTTGGCTCAAATGCAGAAGGAAGACCTAAGAAAAGAACTTGTGAGAGATGCCTTGTGCTGTCATCATGCATTGGGTAGATTATATGTGAACACACATACATTACACACACAGTCACACTAATCAGCACCGCTGCCTGCGTCTTTGGACTCTCCTTGGGGTCACGTCTGTGCCTGCACTTCAAAAAGAAAGCCAGTGTGGCATACTGGTGAGAATGTTGGGCTGGGACTCAGGAGGTCCAGGTTCTAGTCCCCACTCCACTAGGAAGCTCGCTGTGTGCCTCGCAGACACTCAGCCCAACCCGCCTCACAAGGTTGTTGTAAGGATAACATGGAGAAGAGGAGGGAAATTGTGCAAGCTGACTTGGGCTCCTTCTCGGAAGAAAAGAGGTGAGATACAGATAGAGCAAATAAATAAGAAGAAAGAAGTACTAGTTCCTTCCACTGTCCCCCACTGCACACCTGAACATGCCAAGAAAGAGAGAGAGAGAGCATGCAAGTGAGCGAGAGAGAGAAAGACTTACCAATGATGAGAGCTCCTTGAAGGCTGGTGATGTGCAGTTGAAGAGATCTGGTTCCAGCCAGCCTCTTTCCTCGTCACAATGCCGAACTGCAGCACCTGAAGGGGAAGGAAGAAGTCTCTAATAGAAGCTGAGAGTCTGAGAAAGCCGTAGCTGTTGCTGCTGTCAACCAGGAAAGGATTCTCAAGCCAGCAGCACCAGGCCAGGTCAGACTGGCCGAACGAAGCATCGACGAGAGCACCAGCACTGAAGACCAACGCCAGTGAGGGAATGGGGCCCGAGGAGACTCCTCACATTCTACATGTCTTTGCCAACCATAAGCCATTTCCTATACGAACCACTGTGGTCTCGTGTTCACTAATTTGAGTTTTGAGTGGGTTCCTCCAATTGCTGGGATTAATCATTTTCAGCCTGGGAGAATAATTGAGAATGGAATTTACTAGTCACTGATCCTCTGTAATGTACTAGATGTATATCTCACAGTATAACCGTTTGCTATTCCACAAGTGGATGAATGCAAGCTTTTAAAAGAGATGAGAAAATACCGTGTTATGCTGCAAACGCACATCACTGGTGCTCAAATCTGTGAACTCTTTCCGATTTGTGAGTCTTTCTGGAATATCATAGCTCTCTCAGGCCCAGGGGGGATGGACACCATGCACAGCTGCTAGAAATCAGAATCCATGTGGATTTTCATTTGGATTGCCTTAATCCCTTTCTTTATCACTACCTATTATTTTCTGGCTTATGCACTTCTGAGAATGACCTGCCTCTCACTGGATGTGGAGTCCATCAAATGGAGGTGGGAGGGAAAGGAGTTTTGAATCCTGTAACTCCTGTAAGTGTTTCTGGAACTAAAAATATTTTATTCAGAGGGAGTATAAGAGACTGCCCTAAAAATGTTTTATGAAAATAAGGTTAGATCAGCAGACATTTAAGTAGCTGGACTGGCTTACTTACCATATGGGACTTGGGCATGATTAATGTTCTAAGGGTTGGGGCCCACTGTACTCTTCCCAGTCATTTTGGTTTGCAAAACTTTAAATTTTATATTTTGGAGGGGGCAGTGAGGGAACAAAAAGGGATGGGCATGTACAAACCAAGGGACAAAGATGTGGGGCTCAGCTCTATCTCCTAGCCAAAGAGAGTTAGAAGTTCATAGCCAAATCTCTTAGATTCTGAATGGTAGCCAGGCTAGATGTTACATGCAAAACCCGCTTTGAAAGACAAGTGGAGATTTGCCAGGAGGAGAGTGAAAGAGCCCCAGCGGCTGGGAGGTGTATTTGGAGCAGGAAAAAAATAGGCAAGGCAAGGAAAAGACACCCGCTTTCCAAGACCGCTTCTCCACTCCACATCACCCCTTCTGCAGCTGCTTTCAGACAAACAGGGAAGGTCTTTTGGGGGTGAGCAACACGTGCTTGCATGTAACGATTAGTTTAGCCTTGACACCACCTGCATGTTTTCAAGGGAGGGGGTGGGTGTTCACCATAAGCACCATGGACTTACACGTTTTAAGGCAAAGGTATATAACGGTCCCAAGCTGCATTACTCTGTGCTATGGTGCAGCAGCCATGCGGCTTTTGAGACCACTTGAATGCCACCCAGATCAGCAATCCCACACTAGCAATGGTTCTACAATACGGAAACAATACAGGTATCTAGCGGAAGCATTAAGGCATCCTTAATGCTATCACTGGTATCACAAACAGCACCAGCACCAGCCCCACTACCAGCCGCGCCATCTGCCATTCTCACCAGTGGCACTAGAAGTGTGTCCAGCAATGACCTGAATGGGAAAGACATCAGGAGGGTAATAACTACTGTGATCCCTCATCATTCCAAAAGTGGCAAGTCAATGTGTCATTTTAACACAACAGCAACTTGTGGTGGTGGTTGCCATCATCATCATTTACTGCTGCTTTAGAAATGGGAAAAATTGACATTCTGCCAGGACTAGGATTGTGCAAGTCAGTCCTGGAGCCAAGAGAACTGCTTAGAACCAACAGGCTTCTGTGCTCAGCCAAGCTCTCCAATATTCAACAGAGTGTCCACAAGTCAGATGCAGTTCACTGAGATTCCCCCAGAGGTCTCTGAAGCATCCACTGGGCAGAGGATTCATTTTGTGTGCTCATGATCCTCGGCTCAGTGAGGATCTCTTGTTAAAAGTTCTTAGGTAGAACATCTAGAAAAGAACCCCTTTCACTTCCTGAGACTTGAGAACGCTGCTAACAGTTAAGTAGACAGTGATGAGATTAAATAATTCAATGCTGTCTAGAGCAGGGACATACAGAAGGTAGATCGGGATCTAGTGATATTTCTCTGGGCAATTTGCCATAGACCAGCTTCTGATTTTTTTTAACAGCAGCAGTAACACTCCAACACAGCCAGCCCATGCACTAAATAATAACGCTCAAATGAAGAAAGCTCGAAATGAAGAAATCTGGGTTTTTTGTGAAGGACTAAAAACTGCATTCACAGCAAATTCCTGTGTAATTTCAATTTTAATTCAAAGTGTTTGCTGGGGGAGTGTGCCAGGATCTGACTGAATCAACAAAAATGAGTCGAATCCTGCAAACCTGATGTTTGCGTACTCTAGGCCTAGTTACATATAAGAGAGCCCTGTATTGCTGCTTCATCTGTTTCAGGACTTGGCCCTGATAGAAGTTTATTCTGGGATTTAATCCTGGGGCAACGGAATTCTGACCAGCATGCTTTTCCTTGGGGTTCCCAGTGCTGCTACCTGACCTGAAAAGGACACCCGAAGAAAAGGAAGTACAACCAAGATCTATTTGAATTCAGGAGTGTGTATCCAGGTTTCCACTGTGTCCACTCATAAAGAATGGTTCTGGTGGTAGCAGCAATACTCCCAGCTACTCCTCCACAATCTGGTGCCCTGCCAAGTTGGGAAAGGCTGCTCTGTACTCTTCTGCAGGTGAGCTGCTAGTGAGGGTTGTGAGACCTGCACCTCAAGAGGCATGGCCCATGATGAGTTTATGCATCCCAATTTAGATTTTCAGGGTGACTAGAGATATACAGAATTTCAGCCATTGGCCAATGCAGAATCAGCCTTGGTGTGCTTTAAAAACATGCACAATTCCCTTGCATGGATCATGTCCAGGAGAAACCTGTTCTAGGTCTCAGCAGATTTGCAAAAGCTCTGATTGGGCAGCCATTTCATCATCCACAAAGTGCCAAAACTAGCATGGGGGCAGTTGGGGGACAAAATAGGAAATTTGCTAAAAAAAAGAGACTGAGCAGCAAATCATAGAAGGCACTTGAGAGGAAACAAAAGAAAAGAAAAAAGAAAAAGCAAAAACACAGGCAGCCTGCATGAAGCATAGTGGGGTGGCAGGGGAAGTGCTGAATCTAAAAACTATCAAGGAGTGGAAGGAATTTGCAGTAAAGAGCAACTGCCTTGTTCCTTTTAGAAAATGTATCTGTATCCAACCTAAACTGCTTCTAATTTTCTTCCTTGCTAGCAAGAGGCCCTCAGGGCTGTTTCACACATTACTTTCTTAGGTGTATACCTAACACATCTAAGTGGATGCACAAGAATGTAAAGTGTGAATGTCACATTTGAATGTTTGCAAGCAAGGAGTATATTAAATGCATGCATCTAGCAAGGAAGGATCAACAGCAGCTCCTTGCTGACTGCCCCGCTGACAAAACATGAGAGATGCTCAAAGACAATGATCCAGGGGCACACAGCCTGGGACTATGGTGCCCCTGTGCCAGGTGGAGGGCCTGCTTGCTCAACAGGGATTTGGTACTTCATAAAGCAAGCAAAATTCAGGGAAGCCCAGTGTTTCTATTTGTCTGGGGCTTGCCTTATGGAGCACTAAATCCCTTTTGGGCAAGCAGTTGTTCTCTTTGGCACAACATAATCAGTGCAAGTGTAGGAGCTCCCTTGGATACTGCCCTGGTACCCATTAGAAGTTTGGGGTTACAATTCCCATCAGTCCCAGTCAGCTTGGCCAAAGGTAAAGATCATGTGAGCTGTCGTCCAAAACAGCTGGGGTTTGTGTATCCCAGGTTGCCTACCCTTGCAATAATTCTCTTTTCTCTCTGAATCAGCAGAAAACTAGAGAGACAATGCAGTTGGCCTCATTCTCAAGTCCTCCAACAGAAGTGCTCCAGCATCACTTTTCTGACCGAGGCCCATGACAAGGAAGGAGAAACCAAGGTGCATCCCACACCAACAATACAAAACCTGTAGCGCAGAGCTCCAGAACCTTCTCATCACAGTAGGTTACCCCAAATCCACAATGGAGCATCAAGGCAGTAAGCATACATCTAAGCTGGTTGTACATGACTTGGGGTGGGGTGGATAAGGTGATTTTCTGCAGGTTAGTGACTAGCGAAAAGGGAAAGAAGCCAAGGGTCAGGCAGGGTTACAAGGAGAACACAGCCAGGCAAGGCATCTGTAATAGAACCAGCAGCCCTTGCAGCATCTGGGGTGAGTGCAGGGTCTGGCAGTGCCTCAGGCAGGAAGCAGGAAATGGAAAAGCCACACAGCAGCCCTGAGAAAGCAGTGAAGGTGGGGAGGAGAGGGATGGGCCTTACCTGCACCCCGCAAACCTGTGAAGGAGGAAGAGAAAAATGCAGAGAAAAGGGACAACATTAAAAGCTTTCAAGTGATGTACATGTTGTGGCTGTTCCCTGGGGTGGAGTTCTTGAGGAGGTTCCTACTTGGGGATAATGATCCATTGTTTAAAGGTATGGATTAAGCATAATAATTAAGTGTAGGTCTTCCCACTGGTGAATATTCTGAGGTAGGAAAGGCAACGTGTAATAATAAAAATAATAATATCCCCCTGGCTCTCATTGGCAAAGCTTGACCCATGTAGCACCAGGAGTTGATCATCCAGATGTGACTGCTCCAGGAACTGCAGCCCTCGCCCCACTGCTTTGCTAAGAACAGATGGAGCACTGCAGTTAGTGGGGGGTGAGCTTCCCTGGGCCTGACTGGAAAGGGTCCTGAGCTTATAAGGAATGAGCCCAAATTGACTCCTCCTTAAACCTGGGCCCATTCTGGGCTCCAGATTTCAACAATGTCTTCATGAACACAATGGAGTCTGTGTTCCCCTGTTAAATCCTCTCAACACTGAGACTTAACAAGGCCCTGGAATGCTGTTGTGACCGCATAAGGATGGGAGAAGCACTTTGTTGGACCAATAAAGCAAAGCCTGACTTAGTTGTGACCAACCAAGTAAGACATGACCAACCTGTGGCCAACCAAGTAAGACACGAGTGCAACAGCGCCTTCCTGCATGTGGCCTCTGATACTGAAGGTAATATACAGCCACCATGGCCAGTAGCCTTTGAGAGGTTTATCTTCCATTAATATGTCAAATCTCCTTGTAAACTAGAGGCTATCAGTGCATCTTGTGATAGTGAAATCTTTTGTTTAACAATGCTCTGTGCAAAGAAGCACTGGCTTTTATCTGTCCACAATCTCCCATGATGCAGCTTTATGGGATGACCTCAGATGCTAATATGATGCAATAGAGACAAAAACGTCTCCCTATCCACTTCCTCCACACGTGCTTAATTTTGTACACCTCTATTATTGTCTTTCCTTATCTGACTTTTTCCTAAGCTAATAAATGCCAAACATTCTCTCTTTCCTAGTTGGGATCTGCTTCAGTGTTTTTGGTTGTCCTTTTCTGTACCTTTTCTAGTTCTACGATATCATTTTGCAGGTGTGGTAGCCAGAAATATACCCAACAGTCTGAATGTGGTCATACCAGAGATTTGTGTAAGACCAGTATGTTATGGGCAGAGTTATTTTCAGTTCCTTTTCTGGTTCTGCCAGATCCCGGGGCCCCTGGGAGTGGAAGCATTCTGGAGGTCTTGCTACTCTCAAGGCGTCACAGTCTTCTGGGGCCTAATGAAGGCTACTTCAGCTGCCAGAGCTGCCCTTTTCATTAGGATTATTCATTAGGTAAATTTCAGCAGGAAAGAGCAGAGGGCAATTGTGGTGAGAAGGAAGGCCGATGCTGGGGGCTGAGCTAATTATAAGCTGAGTTGGGTTCTTGGAGAAGTTTAGGCTTGGCTCATAATTAACAACATGGGGATTTCAAACCGGGAAAGTTCCTCCAGACTCTCTAGGTTCTGAACACTGTCTGCATCCTTAGGATAGTTCTTATTCACTGTCATGACTATTCCACTGTTCACTTGCCAGAACAACAAACATCTTTGATTGTATTTCACAAGCCTCCCTTTCTTCAGCGTGAATGATGTTCAGCAATCAGCTAGGATGGTGCCAAAAGAAAAGGCCAAAAGGAAAAAGTGAAGTAAGACATGGGCTGCCTTTGCAGAAAAGGCAACTCGCAACTTTCTGAGTCTGCTTGAACCAAACAGGGCAGATTCATCCCCCGTGTCCATAAGCACATGTTTCTGCAACTGGAGAATACTTACCCAGTGAACCTTTGGGACAAGGCACCACAGCTGGCAAGCCAAACTTGGTCTGGGGCCACCATACCCCAGCTTTCAGCGATTTAGGACATGCCTCGTAGAGCACTGTGAAGCCAAACACAGAAGCCAAGTCACCTGGAGCCTAAGGAAGGCGCTTTCTTCCACAGAGTGCCTCTCCGCAGAACTGGGACAGAGAAACATCCAAGGACCCCTCAAAACTGAGTGGCTTCACACTGAAAGAGAACCTGCATAAAACCAGAACTCTACAGTATTTAACGACATACTCATAAAAAAGAAAAAAATCTAGAACCTAACAGTGCAGAGGCAGCAGATTTTTATCAGTATATGCTGGCCTTATGAAACAAGCCAAACTTACTGGGGAAAGCTAGAGAATGAATTACAGAGAAACATAGCAAGTCAGAAGGGGTATCTTGGGCCATCTAGTCTGATCCCTGGCAGAAGCCGGCTCCACTCATATAATATGCAACATGTGGGTGTCCAATCTCTCTTTGAAAGCCTTCACTGGTGGGGCTACCACCTCCTTCCATGGAATTACCGATATATATATTACCAATGTATTTATTGGGATGTGAAATCTTGAAGGTGGTTTTCTGGTGCTGTGTTTTAATCAACAGGTACAACTCCAGTGTGGACAGCTTGTGGTCCTCCACATGTTTTGTCCTACAGTGAATCATTCTTCACCACTGTCTATGTTGATTAGAGCTGCAGGCCAGAATATCCAAGAGGGTCTTGTCCACCTCTGGTGTAACCGAATTGTGTAATAAGGACTTTGTGCAAAGTTGTTACCTGCAGTGAGACTATTTATGAGACTACCATATATATTGCTTTCTGAATCCACTTTTCAAAAAGAGAAACTAGCAAGGGCACCCAGTGTGGTGTACAGCCAGCGTGGTGTAGTGGTTAAGAGCCTGGGACTGGGACTCAGACGACCTGGGTTCTAGTCCCCACTCAGCCATGGAGCCAACTGGGTGACTTTGGGCCAGTCACAGACTCTCAGCCCAGCCTACCTCACAGGGTTGTTGTTGTGGGGATAAGATGGAGGAGGAGAATGATGTAAGCTGCCTTGAGCCCTTTGTTGGAAAAAGGCAGGCTATAAATTGATAAATAAATAAATATTAGGCATTTCAAGCTTACAGTTTAAACTTCCATCTTCCTGGAAGTTCTGCCACGGACATCGTTCTCATAAAGCAGAGCCAGTTTCACATACCCTGTTTCACTCTCCCACCCTTAAGAGTCAAAGGGTTAATCAGAGGAGAGAGGCAAATGCCACTCCTTCCTAATAGACTCTTCCTTCTAATAGACCACCTTGTCAGGACTGTAACTCTTGACTTGAGCTTCCACCCCTACACCATCTCTTTAGAAGATCAGTTTCTGGTTCTGGAGTAAGACCAGTCTGAAGATTGGCAGCTGCTGGCTGGGTGAACTCCCACTTGAGAAGCAGCCCGGAGGCACCCTCTGAAATTTTCACAAAGGAAAGTGCTTCTGACATGCTTGGCGGATACTCACCCTGGCAACCGCTGGGAGTCACCTCCGCGAAAGGGCTGTCGCAACTGTTGCACTGCCGGCCGATCACGCCTGGCCGGCAGTGGCACTGGCCTGTCTCTTGATCACAGGAGCGTGAAGAGGAGCCAATGGGGTAGCAGTCGCAAGGAAGGCAGGCATCACTCCCTTTAGGGTGGTAGTGGAAATCCTGTTGGAAGAAGACGGGAGAGGGGCAGGGGAGGTGGTTAGAGAGCTGGGTCACAGGAAGAGGAGTAGTGAAGGGCTGACAAGACTGCAGGCAAGGGGAAAGGGCCAAAACGAGGAACCGAGTGAAACAGCAGGAAAAGGGGGCGGGCCTGGTGGGACAAAGAGAGGGGGCACTGTTAGGTCAGCAGAAAGCAGAGACGGCCCGTCCACTTAGGGCAGGAAGATCATACAGCGACAGAAGCTGTTTCTTCCTCCATTACAGAAAAGTTCACCTTTTCTGGGCTTCTGCAGTGCTTTCAGCCATCTTTTGCTGTGGGTCTCCCACAACCATCGCCCCTTTGAGGCACAGAATCAACAACAGTTCCCTACTGGTCCTTTGGCCTGTTTCCAACACTGTTCAAAGCTTGTTCTGTTGGACTGGGGACAAGGAGTGGTGAGTGTAGACATGGGCAGACTGGGAGACACGGTGTGAGAGTGAAATGGATAGCGCTTGGAGTCGAGGAGGGGGACTTGCGTGGGTTCCTCCTTACAGCATAAGACGTAACAAAAAGAAGGAAAATGGAAAATGTGCAAAAGGGAACATCAGGGGCATGTTTCCCCAGTCAACCATGAATGCAATGAGATTGCGGAGCCAGGAATGGGGGATGAAAGGCAATGCTGCAGATGATCATGAGCAAGGCAATTCCGGTGCTGACGCAGAGCCCAAGGACAGCAGAATGCCAACACACTGCTGCAAAGCCACCGCCAGATCTGTTCCCTCACCTTACAATGACATTGCCCGTTGGTTTTATTACAGTCTGGGTCAAATCCCTTGGATGCATCGCAGTTGCAGGGCCCACATGTTGGATTCCCCCACCAGCCCTTAGGACACTGTTGATCCATCCTGCAGGGAAAGAAGTCAGGTGGTTGGAGACCTGATGTTCTGCATCCTGGGCACCACCTTACTGTTGGCCTGGCAGCAAGTGGAAATACAACAGCACGAGAAGTGGCTGATTTCGGTATTGTATTGGCTTAATACAGTTCTCTTTTGGTCTGGATTTTGCATTAAATTGCTTTGAGTATGGTATTCTTTGGAAAAATGAGAATGCACTTTTGTAAAACATTTTTGGGGAAAAATTTTCAGAAGCTGTTTAATGTGCCCACCTCAGGCAATTTTGGAGGGGACTGCTCTGAAAGGGTGTTAAGGATTTGCCCATTTAGAGGGAGGGCAATACCAAACTAGAAAGCATTGGTGTCACTCTTTATGGGCTTTGTGATGTCACGAGGAAGCCAAATCTGATTGGCTACATGGTGTCAAAACAACAGTGTGCTCATTAGGTGATCTCCAATGGGCTGGGATGACTATTCCTGAGGAAGATGACCCAGTTTTTTAAAAAATGGTACAAAAGCAACAGCAGATGGGAAATAATGGCAGCAAGCAAGGATTTGGGGGGAAATAGTTCAGTCATACCCAAAAATACTAGTTTTGTTCCCTCCCCACAAACAAAATAAGGAAACATTGGACACAGTAACTAGATAACTGGAGCCAAGCATGGACATGCTTGCTCCATGTATCTGGGCAAGAAGACTCTGGGGAGATGGTGTGATCAGTGACATAACGTGGCTTAGAAGACAACCCCAAGGGCTGAGACAATCCTCAGCATTTCTCAGTCAGATGAGGGGTCACAGCAACAATTTATCTCTGATTGTGCACAGCATGGTGTAACATCAGGACCGTATGTCCACTGTTTGTCACAGTTATTTAAGTTTGCATTAACATTCCCATCCAGCCCCTCCACACATACACACAGCCTTTTTCACTTCATACGAAATCATCCCCTCAAGAGAGATAAGCCTTCCAAGGGCAACTGACCATCCCTGAGGCTGACAATCAGGCAATAAGGAGCTGAACAGAGATAAGATGCAAGCAACCATCTGGCTCTCGCATTCCTTATGATGCGTCAACAAGTGATGTTTGTCCTATGCATTTGCCTCCTTCCTTAGTGGTCTCCCTCCCTCAGTGAGTCCACCTTCTCACCACCACTGCCACCAGCTGCTGTCACTCCTCATCCAGCGTCTTCTGCTCCTCTTTCTCCCCACCACTATTGACTGGGCCACAATGTGAGGCAGGTGAGCAAGCGGGCTGCACAATGGTGGAGAGGAGGAGCAACTCCACAGGACTCTTTCGGGCAGCCCCCTGCAGAAGCAAGGGTCTCTGGCAGGTACCCAGCTCTGCCTATCTCTGACACAAGTCCTGCTGCCCATCCGCAACTGATTTCCAAATCATCTCCTGATGGACTGACCATGTCATAGTAAGCTGTAAATCTGCCCTTAGGTGAAGGACCAGATGACACACGAGGTGTGCAACAATCAGCAGTTGGGAAAAGGAGCCACATCTCACCCTCTGCCTTCTCCATGACCTGTCTAGTGATGGCGGGTCATTCTGTGAGCGGAGGAGCCCAATTAAGCCATGGCATTAGCATTTGTGGGTCAGCCCAGTGGATGCTGAATGGGGCAGGAGCCACCCTGGAGCTTACCTGTGCTCACAATACTGCCCAAAGTGGTTTTCTCCACACTCACAGACGTAACCGTGGGGAGCACCTGGCTTCCGCCGACAGACTGACTTGTTTTTGCAGGGGTTCAGATGACAGGCATCAACGCAGTTCCCACCATAGTACCCTGGAACAACAGACAGACAACCACCTTGCAAAAACAAAACACAATGTGAGGATTCAGGGGCCCTATCAGAAGAAGATGCTTGGGAAGCGGGGTTCATTCTCCCAAGCCTGGAGTTTAAGGTGGGTCACAATGCACATCAAGCCCGTCGGACTTCTCCCTTTTCTCCCCTCTGCAACAAAGAAAGCCAAGGCTATGGTCACTATCCATGCTGCAAAATAGGAGCACTGAGCACATCTTGGGCCAAGACAAGTGTGGCTTATCTGATCACTGAATTGCAAATTTATTATTATTCATGGCTGGTGAATGGTGAAAATCTTGGATAAGCAGAGGATGACAAAAGGAAGGGACAAGACCAGACCATTCAAACTAGTACTGGATGTTAGCTTTTGATACTGGAATTCTGTAGTGCCTAGGAGATTTACAAACTCCAAATCTGAAAAACCAGCCAAATTTTAAAGAGATATTTGTGCTTGCAAAAGAAACTCTGATTCTAGCTGCAAAGAATTTTTTGACCTTCTTCAGGCAGAGGAAACCTTTTTGCTAAAGGCACGAACTGACTCTGGAGTCATGAAGTTGGAGAAACGTAATTGTACATGAATCTTGCAAACAGATACCCTTATAGAACAGTAAAAAATGGAAATGTGGTATCAAAAAGGGAGGCAAGGAGAAATAATGGGAAGAAGAGCAGGGGAAAATGGAAAGGGAAACCAAAACAGAGACACAGAACAAGAGTTAATGAACAGCAGAAAAAGAAAAGGCCGTGCAGCCTGTGCTGCCTGCCCATCTCCTACCTGGCTGGCATACACAAGCGTAGCTTTGCCACTTGTCCTGGCATACGCTATTGGCAGGACAAGGGCTGGAGTCACAAGGGTTGGGCACAGGACATCCTGCCTCCACGTGCAAAGTGCTGCTGGGCTTGGGTAACACAGTCCCAGTGGCTGTGTCCCCTAAGCGCACTCCCTGAAACCCAAATGAGAAGCGCACTGTAAATCCAGGTTTTCCACCCAAAGGGATGGACTTTATTGGAGAGAACTTGGGCACCAGCTTAAACAATCCAGTCCAGGTTTACCCGAGTATTCTGACCTCCACTTTTTATCCTGCCTTTATTCAGGTTCGCTAAAGCAGAGGTGCCCAACCTAAGGCTTGGGGATCCAACCTGGTCTTCTGGGGTTCCCCAGAGAGTCACACCCTCTCCCCTCACCCCACCTCATTTCCCTGGAACAGCAGTTGTCAAGTGGCTTCCAGGCTTGTGTGAAGTTCCCTCCCATCGTACCCTATTTTAAACGGTTGATATGTCTAAGGCTTAAGTACGGGCCTTCAGCTACAATATGTTCTCCATTTTTGGCCCCAGCACCTTTGGCTTTCACACAACTGTCTTTGGCCTCTGGCCAGCGCTCTTCTGTCTTCGGTCCCACTCATCACTGGGATGCACCACTCATGAGTTTCTCAGAAATAGAATTTGGCTATCAGGCAAGAATTTGAACACCCCTCCTCTAATGCAATATCTATTTGGCTCATCTCTCTCATGGTAGTGACAGTTTCCAATTTTTTCTGTTCCCCAGATCTTCACTAGAAGCATTGTTTGGTATTTATAGGTATTGGCTAACTTGAAGAAACTCAGTTTACCCACACCTAGAAAAGTAGCTTCTAGGTTCAGACATGATTATCCACATTCAAGAGTCATGCATAGAGAATGGGTTGTTGTCGTTGTTGAACATGGGTTATTGTCTATGGTTTGTTGCTGGGTAGTGAACTGTGGATTATTCATCATGATTTGTTATCTTGGGTGGGTTTGGACCATGGAATCCATTGTTTCCACGGTGAACTATGATTCAGTGGCAACCCACACCTAACCCATACTCAACCTTTGTTTGTGGGTTATAATGATGTCTAATCCCAGTCTATGATTTGGTTTTTTGGAATTGTCTTTCTCTTTTGTTTTAATTCTTCATTTGTCAATGCTGTTAGTCAATCAAAACATGGAACACAGAAGCTTCCTGGAACTCACCTGGATGCAGCCTTCCAAACCATGATGGACTTTACCAGACTCTAGGATTCCTCCAACATGGAGATGCTTTACCTTCAAGCCATGTAGCTCATTGCCAACCACTACAGTGTCCTGAGTAAACAAACCAGACTAATAGGAATTTCATAGGCACATCATTGCTTAAATCCCTTACCTAGCTCTCCTCTCCCCTGAATTAACCTTTTGCTTCACTGCCAGCCTTATTTTTTGGGAGTCAGAACCAGCATCAGAAGATAAAGGGGAAGTTATTAACCTGAAAGGGACCATTAGTATTGATCCTGGGTGGGGTGGGGAGGGGAGAGAAAGATTCAGGTCCTAGGGGAAGGGTACTGTCAAAAACACAGAGACAGTGGAGAGACTAGGACTCACAGAAAAACTCTAGCCCTAGTGCGGATGATTTGTCCCATTGAATAATATTTCTCTGTTCTACCCCCACATCCTCAGGGCTCACCTGGTAGGATCCGAAATCCAGACTGAGAGTGATGATGAAACGAGTGTCTCGGCCACTGCGAACATCCTGCAGCTGTAGCTGAAGGTCATGCCATGCCCCATTGTTCAGCTGCATTTGATCCAGGAGGAGCTTGGTGGTACGCCCGGATCCCCTGTTTACCATGACGGAGAGCATGCCAGAGTCCAGCTAAAGATATGGCAGAGGTCAGAACAGAGTAAATTCAACCCAGCAAGCAAAGCTGAGACAGCTCAGGCTGTTAACTTCACATACATGCCCTGTACATCAGGACAGGTGTTCAGCTCAGGCTGACCTAAATATCTTCAAGGTAAGTGTGAAGCCATCCCAAATTCAGCAGGAACAGAGCACTACTATAGCAAACATTGTCATGAATTTACCTTCAGATGCAGCACTGGGGAGAACCCACTAGGGCTGGAGCACTGCATCTTTTATTTGGAACCTCATACATCTGGCCAGCATCTGCCCCACCACTCAGCTGTCAATGAGCGCTTGCTCAAATAAAGGTACAGGGTCTGAATCTGATCTTTTTGCCCATACATACCACAAATGATTTGGCCTTTTTTTCTCACATCAAATGCCCTTTTCTCCCCACCCACACATCCCTTTTTACAAATAGGGCTGTCCTTACAAGACTGGGTCCTTTAAACACGCACACACACACCCTTTAGAACATATGTAAATTAGCATATAGAAATTTGTGGGGAGTTTGTCCTATGGGCTTGAAATCTGGATCTTTTTGGTACCTGGCACTGCCCCTGTTTATATGACAAGAGATCAGTGGTTTGTTCATCTCAGAGCCGAGGGCCAAATCCAGCCCTCCCGGGGTTTAATCTGGTTGCCTAGGGTTCTCTGGATGGCTACGCACTGCCTTCCTATGGCCCAGCTTTCTTTCTCTGACCACCAATTATTTGGTGATTGCCTGGCTTTTTGCAGTCCTCTCCATTGACCCATTCCAGGAGGCTGAATTGCTTTTCCTATAGTTTAATTACTGGCCGTAAGAGCTTTAAGCAAAAATATGCTGGTATCTTTTGTATTTTGGGCCTCACCCCTTTTTACCACCTCTGCATTAAGGCACCCAAGGAGCTTCTCTGAAAGGGAATCCATTCCCTGGGCTGAAAAAGGAACTCTTGCTCAGTAGCTACTCCCAATCCCCCATACACCATCTCCTTTAAGTGGACCTAATGCCTCACAGAACTTTTGGTACATGTTCTGGGAACAGGCCAGGGCTGTAGATGCTACACCTGTGGCTACCCAAACAGTACCTGGCAGAGTATAGTGGTGTACTGGCCAGCATGCACCTGAAATAACACTCCGTTCTGTTGTCGTGTCCGGAATGCCAGGCCCATATACCAGGGAGTGGAGATCTTCAGCTCATTCTTGAAATCCCAGAAAAGGATACTGTTGCCATGGAAATGGTGAGGATGATTCATGGCTGGAAAGAAAAGCTGGAGTATAAAAGATGCTGGAATTCAGAACAGGGTAAAGAAGCTCTTGCTAGGGGACACTCTAGGACCTCCCTCATTCCTGGTGCTAGAAACTCTCCAGCTACACTTCAGAAACTGTAATGTTATAAGGAAAGATACCCAGATCAGGCATGGGAAGAGGTGGGAGGCTTCATCTTGCTGGAAGTTCTGAGGAGCCTGGAGAAGGATCTCAGCAACAGGGAAAGTGGAAGGTTTTGGTTGGTCTGTATTTCTAAGCAAATAAACCAGATCTGTACTTCCTTGACTAATGTACAAATCAGAATGTAGCAGTACTCTGAATTTCATACTTCTTCACATCTTGCAATGTAGCCCTTAGCTTAAAAAACACAGAAATGTTTTAAAATGTGTATGTTCAGAAGAAATATGCTAAGATTGGTGTGGTGTAAGAGAAATATGTTTAGAACTGTGCATTTTGTGAGACAATTTTAAAATAAGTACTTAAATAAAATGTTTGTCCATGATAGAAACGGCAAATTAACATGGAAATGTGATGGAATATACATGGACACGTGCAAACTGGCATAGACCTGAATTAGAATAATCTGACTATCCCTAGCCAAGCAACTTGACTAGATGATAAACACGATAGAACTAGGTCAAATTCCTTAGAACTGAAGGCTTAGTAGGTTCTTTTGACCAAGAAACATTTGAGGGCTTGGGTTTTTGAAAGGTTCATAGAATCATAGAATAGTAGAGTTGGGAGGAGCCATGAAGGCCGTCAGGTCCAACCCCCTGCTGTTGCAGAACACCAAGCAACACCATCCCACTCAGATGGCTGTTCAGTTTCTAGGTTGTTTTTAGCTGTCAGTTTTGTACTTATTTAAGGAAAAGTGCCTATTTTTGCCAGTTAAAAGGAGCACTTAAACATGTTTAATTGAGATTCTCCCTTCAATACACTCAAAAAGATTGATTGGTTCTTCCCTGGGCATTGCTCAATGTCCATAATGAAAAGGTCATAATTTAGAGGTGCCCAGGCATCTCTTTAAAACATAAAAATCCTTGCTTGTTTGGCTGGGGAATGCTGGGAATTGTAGGACTTTTTCTGACTAAAGATGCATAGGACTGCAGTGTTTAATGTGTTTTTGAACTTGAACACCTGCACCTAAAGACAGACTTTTTCCATAGGTTCTCAAGAAAACTTAAGGGCAAGATAAGACACATCAGGCATTCCTGGTCTAGGTCTAGAACAAAGATTCTTACAAGAATTTCTTTAGAAGCACCCAACATTATATGAGGAAACCAAGGGCCAATTTTTTACTTTGGCGGCTGAACCTCTGTCCTATCCAAACCTTCCAGTGAGGGTAGACTCCAAAGAATAGGAGGATACAGGAAGAGTTCAGTTCAGAAGCTAGAGGTACTCTTTTGACTGGGTTCAAACTGTGTGACAAGCCATGCTCAGGTGCAGGTGTTGTATAGAGGTTGAGTGTGGGTTATTGTTAAGAGTAGGTTATCAGGTGTCTGATGCCAGTTGTACTAATAAGTCATGGTTTGATAACCCTGAACAACCCTTAAGGAGAAACCATGGGTTTGTTATCTTGGCTGGGTTCAGACAAAGCAATAACCCACATTTCAACCCATGGTTCAAGCACAACTCACTCTCAACCATATTAAAGCATCAGAGTGTGGATTATTGTGTTGTATGAACTAAGTCTGTGACTGGGCAGGGATGGGTTATCATGTTGTCTGCACCTAGTTGAACTTTCTTGTGCATGGTTAACAAACGATGTTGTTAGAAACCGTGCACAATTTGTTAGAAACCATGAAACAAGCCATGTTTCAGAAAGCATGACAAGCCACTTCTGGCTCATAGCCATCATTGCTTATGGTGTTGTGTGAACCCAGTCTGAGCTGCTGAAGTTTTTATAGTCTCCATATAGATCATCTTTACTATGGAAGTACCTGGAAATGTTCATGACACAAATAAAGGCCAGTTTAGGTCATAAAACAGACCTTTGAAAATCCAACGTGTACCCAATCAAATAGGGCTTAAAGCCACTTTTTCATAATCCCTTCTTGGTCCATTTCCAGGAACACTGCTGGCCTACCTTTCCCAAAAAACTTACTCAACTTTGCCTTATCCTCTTGGGGAGTTTTATTTCACCTTCAAGAAACCCTTCCCAAAGCAAACATGATATATTTTGTTTAGGTAACTTATACTTAACAGTCCAGACTCGTCTTTCCCAACTAGGTGGCCTTCGGGATGAGTTGGACAGCAATTACCATATTTCCCAGGCAGCATTGGCTGTTAGCCCTACTGATTGGGGACTATGGGAGTTGTAGTTCCACACATCCAGAGCTCACCAGGTTGGAGAATGCTAGTCCAGGTCATCCCTCCTGTAGCATCCTTTATTTTTTCATTACCTCCTCCAACAACATTAGACTTACCGTGCCTGCAGTCCTTGCCTCCAAAGCCCACTGGACACGCACAGGTGAAGGAAGACCAGCCCACAGTGCAGGTGCCACTGTTCTTGCAAGGGTTTGAATCACAGAAGGAGTGTTTGGCATGGCAACCTGAGGACATGGCAGATGGACAGCACAGGCAAAGACAAAGGACCAGATTGTTAATCTGAAATAGTTTCTACATTGGTCTTAACTACCAACCCCCCATAAACCATGAGAACAGACCCTAAACCTTCAAATAAAAAACATACAGGAGCATCTCTGGTCTCCAGTGCTGACTTTATTCTCAATAGATTGGATCTGGACCTAGTCATCTTTACAGTAAATTGCTTGAAATCAATGTGGTTCAATTAGGACAGAATTCTATACATATTTAGACAGAAAGAGGTTTTACAAACTCTCAGCACAACGCAGGCATACTGAAGAATGCAGGGAATTTTTAGGACTTCTTTTCTGTGTAAAGATTGTGACCTTAGTCACGAACAACATATACTCCATTGATTTCAATGAGCCTATTTGAAGTCTGGAAGGTGCAGCAGGCACCAAGAATGGCCCTTGGAGCTCTACTGATCTGGAGCCCCGAGTTCCATCTGGCATGACATTTCTGGCTTGGCACAGCAAGCATGCCACTCTGAAGAAATCTGCAGGGAGGACTGTTTTGTGGGAATGACACAGAAGGTACAGCTGGGATACAGCACCTTTCCCCATTAGGTAAGTAACTTGGGTCTAGCCTGTGTCTTGCTGGGCAGTGGAGAAGCATAGGTGTCCCTGTTAGTGTGATCACAGCTTCAGCCAAATGGACATGCACTGCACCAGGTAAGGCAAAGGGCAAAGGGCCACCTGAGATTGGACTTCTCCCACTCTGGGAGCCTCGATGGAATCCACAAAAGGCCAGGGGGCACACTGGGCCTTGCTGCAGCCTGCCAAAGATAATAGCTCAGGGACAGGGTTAGGGTGCTGAAGCTGTAGCTGTAGCTGTAGCTCGTCTGGCCTGCCTAGGCACTCAAACCAGCCTGCCGGTGTTTGCCAGAAGCCCTTCCACTGACTGCCAATCATTTGATGGTTCCTTGGTTTTTAATGTTTTCTAACAAGTTGAAATACCTCTCCCAAGGCTTACTTATTGATAGGAAGAGATTTAAGCTAAAAATATGCCAGGAGTTTTGGCTTTGCCCCTTTTGCCTGTGGCCTCTGTCCACCAGTGGAAAGTGGCCCTTGATAGCTTTCCCAATATGGAATTCAGCCCTGAGGCTCAAAGAGGTTCAACACCCTTCCTATAAGGGGGTTTTGTGCTACCCAAACCATCAAGCCACCCAATAGCCAAACTCTTGACCAATATTGTAATCTGAGGGATGGGAAACTTACGATAATCTTGGGTCAAGCCACAGACATTACCTGTAGAGGTTCCATTGTTCGCAATGTAGGAAGCCAGGTCAATGCGTTTACTGTCGATGTACAGATCTCTCATGCACCCCACAAACTCCCTGTGCTCCACTGGAAAATTCTCAGGCAAATTGGGGACCCCTCCAAGAAGCAAAGGCCCAGTGAGATCCAATGATCTGGAGGAAGAAACGGGCTGTGAGTGCAGCTGGCTGTGCCTGTCCTACATGGAAGTTTCAGCCAGGAGGACCCAACACAGGGGCAAATTCCTGCAACATTTCTTTTCAAGCTAGGAATGGAGGAATCCCTGGAAAGGGGCAGGCCTTTGGCATAAGCTCAGGGAAATGCAGAAGCCCCACATGCTCAGGGGTTCGGACTAGAATGCAGCCAGACAATTCAGGCAGCTCCCTCAGTCAGGCATGCAGGATTTGGGACCAGCCAGGGGTAGCTAGGAGCCATGGAAAGACATGAAATCTTCCACACATTCCCAGTTATTAAGAGCTTTTTTTACAGGAGACTGATAATCTGTTGTTAATCAATTGCATCTCCTTGTGGTTTCAGCACAGAATTGAGATCTGAGCACTATAGGGCTTCCTTTCTTGCTTATCTGCTAAATAGCCTCCCGATGGAACGGTAGCATAGCAGAATAGTACAAGAGGAAACCATGCTTGCTTTTGATTTCAGAATTAAATGATACATTTTCTGTGCTAGAAAAGAAGAGAAACTTGTTGACAGTCCTGCTTAAACACAGAAACAAAAGTGGAGAGTCATGAGATCTTCTAAAGTACCCATAAACGACCATGGACAGGAAATGACAACTACATGAGAAATGTCTCCTGTAGAAATGCTCTCAGTTTCTTAATAAAACTATTAAGCCATTTCCACAAGCTTTGTCTCAAATGGTTGCTGCTGGATGTTTAGAGTACAGAGTCTTCTAGGATCTTACAATTGCAATTGTGACAATCTATGTGTAATAATGATTGTTCTAAAGTAGTCTTCCCCAGGCTGGCACCCTCCAGGCCAACAAATATGGTAGGTACCAGGTTGGAAATAGCTGTTGTAAAGCATTACTGAGATTACAGCTATTTAGCACTTTGAGCTTCAAACAGATGCTATATATACATCCTCTTAGAGTTACCCTTACTGCAGAAGAACCACCACATTCAATTTTGGCTATTTACTCACTAACCCAAATTGGAACTCACTCCTTTCATATACATGGACTGAAAATTACTAGAAACCCTCCAACCATTCTCTAAATCGACCTTCTTGATTTTGCATATTATAAGGTGCTTAAAGAGTTCTAAGGGTCAACTAATCTATGTTAAATGATCTTGAACAATCTGAGGAAGATATTCAGAGAAACATGTTTTGGATGTTTTGGATTTAATGTGTTTTTATCTCATGGTTGTGAGCTGTCTAGAGGTGCTGTGGCACAATCAGGCAGCATACAAATGTTTTAAACAAACAAACAAACAAACAAACGTCTGCCTAATGGAACATTCTTGTATGAAACTTTACATTATCTCCAATCCAGTCCACAGAGCAGCAAGCATTAGCATCAAAGTACCAATTTAAGTCAAGGTTATAACATCATTACTTACAGTCTGGGACCTCAACATAATGCACAATTATTACACAGGAAAATCCTTAGAACAGTCTTTCCTAACCAAATATCCTTCAAATGCGTCTCATTTTGAAGCTGTGTCCAACCTATTCTTCTCTCCCATTCTCTGGAATAAATCCCAGCTCTTCCTTTGGAGAGTTCAAAGTAGCATTTTAAGGCAGCATCTTCCAAAACTTGTTTGGTTCTGTTCTTTGAAGGGTAGGCAGCAAGTGTAAAAGACTCACTTTTTGGAACTGGACTGTACCCCCTCTGCCGCACAGGAGTAGTTCCCAATCTGATTGCCAAACTGCAGTGCCACTGATGCATCACACTTGTCCACAGTGAGGATGGCCACTTTATCTTTGGAGGGACCCTGCACTGAACCCAGGGAGCTGATCTTGGGCTGAAACGATAAAGCATGGACTGAGCAAAGGTTGCCTGAACACATACACCATGAGCCTCATTCTGCATTAACCAAGGGCCAAACTGTGCATTTGGAAAAAGGACAACTCCCCTTATACTGTACCAATCTGGGATAACAATGGGGGGAGGGCAGGGAGATGGGACTGCTTGTTTGAATCCTCTCCCATGAAAACAACATCAAACCTGTTAAAGCATGAGGCACATCCTCGATTTCTCCAACAGCTTTTTCACAAGCACAGAGTTTTTTCATTATTCATTACCCATGAGAACAAAATTATTTAGAATCATGGATGTAAAAAGCACAATTTTGGGGTGGAAAGGCAGTATATAAGTATAATAAATAAATGTTTCCCATAGCACTTGGAAATTGCATCAAATGATGGAGAATCTTACAGATGTATTTACTTCAAGGCAGTTGCAGTTCTTGTGACTCAAACATTTCCGTAAAGGTCTGAAAACTGTAGACCGTTATATGTAAACACAAGGCTGGAGGGATGGTGTGAACACCTCAAGTTTGCTATATATTTCTCCATTTTTCAGGCATATGCACATGAATGCTGGTTATTATGTGCACCAGTTATGTCACTGGTGTTATTGTTGACTTCTTAGATCATTACCAAATACTTCAGGAATTATCATCATTCAGATGTGAACGCCAAATCTCACTATGCTGGAGGTGTTCACTGTAAAATATCCATCGTGCCTATCACTTCGTCTTCTATAGACGGAATGAGATGGTTGACCCTGGCAGCAGGCTCTCAGCTGGGAAAGGGTCAGGAAATACTTCCAGGTAAGATCAAAACTGCAAGTAGCAGCTGCTTCAGTTGTCGGGGGGCAGAATGGCGCATTATGAGGAAAGTGGAGGTGCCACCAAAAAGGGTAGCCCTGAAAGGGGTTCCCTTTAGCATGTGCTCTGATGTCATCATGATGTGCAGTTCCCCACCCCACAAATTGGAGACAACCATGTTGAACTGGAGCATGGAAATGTACATCGACGGGACATGGGGGTATGTTGAACTAGACATTATGGAGCAGAAGCGAGGAACTTGAGAGGGGGATACAGTTTTCAGTGGTTGCTATAGGCTCTTTATAATGAGAAGATTCAACTTCTGCGTTATGTATTGTACTTCTTGACCTCATGTCTATCGAATTCCTTCTTTATGGAACCCTGGCAGTCACTCATTCTGGCACGGACCAGACCCAGACCTGCTTAGTTTCAGCGAGGCTGCTCCATGGTGCACCATCTGACCTTCCCTCAAACACAGCCGCCAGCCATGCTGGGGTGGGTGCAGGGTGAGACAGGACCACACACTTGTCAGTGCTCATGTAAAGGAGCTGCAGAGAAAAACAGCAAGCATTTGCAGCCCGCCGGGTGCAGGCACAACCAGGTTAACAGGATAAGCACCATGACCCACAGCAAAAGATGTTGATACCTACCTTGTTGTAATAATGCAGCTGAACTGTATGCCATTCCCCATCGCTCACCCCTTCTGGCACATAGGGAGCAACAATGGTGCTCGATTCACCTGCAAGGTAGAGGGATGTCAGGTGAGACCAGCCATGCAATCATTTTGGCATCTGCTCCAAAATCTTTTGTTTGCTTATATTATTTACTGTTGTTTTGTTGCGATTGATTGATAGATCTCTTGTATTTTGCAAGTTGTATGACTATTTTTGTTATATTCATTGTTCATTACTCTGATTTTTTTAAAATGAAGTGTGGTTTATAAATATCTAATTCAACAAAAACCCAGGGTTAGTGCTAGGGTCTAGAACAGGATTGGAACTGTGATGATACACCAGGGGTGGGTGGAGGTTAACCTCTTTTTGTTATGCTATGGCTGATGGCACCCTCTCTGTGCATCAAAGTCCTGATTCTGATTGGGTCCTCACAACTGTTATTTTTAAAGAAAAAGAGAACTGAACCTTTGAAATTCATTCAGTTAGCATCACCATCCAGTTCAGTCCTTGACAGGCCTTAGGGAGTTTATTAAGGGATCTTGTTTCCACTGCACATATGCCCTTGCAACATCACTCTTCCAATGTATCAAGATAAGAGAGCCTCTCTTGAGCAGACAAAGACTTCCACACTTCCTCTCATGTAGATGTACAGATAAACCTTCTGGAAGTCAGTGTGGAATTAAGTGTGTTGTGTACACACACACAAACATGCCAATAATCATAATTAAAAAAAAAAACTTTGGTTGCTTTGACACATTCAGTGTTTCAGCAATTCATTCGAAGAAATGGATGAGGCACTAAAATGTTATGAAAGAAGGTATATACATTTCATAGTCATGTACTGCTATTTGTGTGACTCATTCCAAATACAAATGAAAATGCTTGCATTTATATGCAGCTCTCCAATGAAACAGCTCATACAGAAACACACTCAGACACAAGGTAATCACAAGTAACAACCTTGGTAACCTCATTTGGAGTTGACGAAATACATTTGACAAATAGGAAGTGATTGGAGTCTTTTATGAAGACTTTTATTTCACACTATTTGGCATATATTGACTGTTTTTCATTCTGTTTTCTGCCTTTCTTTAAGCTTAAATAAAAAAGCAAAGAAGACCATTCCCTCCCTGAAAGGATGGGTTTTTTTTTTCTGTTCTTTGTACATTCCTCTCTTTTGTTAATTGCATTGGATGCTCATAAGCCTCCGAGTTTGGAGGCTTATGAGCATCTGCTGTGAGGGGGATAGGATTGTGCCCTTAGACATCTTATGGGGCCTCAGCCTACAAGATGATGCACATCTATTTGAAATGCATGCACACATGCACACACTCATAAACAAGATCACTTTTCACACAAACCATCTTCTCTAGCTTAATGGTAATAGCAAGCAGTATTGATTGGGGCTTTTTCTGCAGCTAAGCAGCAGGAAAATGGATGCTCTGGGTTTCTGTGTGGGGACCACAATACTTAACATGACTGGTTATCAGATACACTTAGAACCCTGGAAGCAAAAGCCACTGCCTTCAGTACAGTTGCTATATTTGAAACATCTGAGCATTACCTTTGAAGCTGAATCACCCATAAAAGGTCATATGGCTTCAGTCTGAACCAGCTGAAGACGGGATGTGGTTGGGGGTCTTGCTATGTCACAAGACAGCATGGCTTGTAAACCACGGCTTAAAGTGGAACATGGTTTCCCATTGATGTGACTCAATCATTCATCCTGACACTAAACCCATGCTTAAAGAGCCCTTTGAGATATAATCTAATTTGACTGTTAGTGACCTTTAGACTCAATATGGTATGAAGACACGCACATGCACAGAGCCAGTGACACAAGATTTATGGCGCATACAAATACATGTTTTCATCTTTCTCATAGTGTTATGTTTCTCAGGTTCAAGCATGCGCATACTTTACACCATGTAAAAATAGGTCCTCGTAACTTCCCTGAAATTCAATGACGTTACCCTATGCAAAACAGAGCCCAGCACTTTTCATGCATTCCATCTTCTCCATTTTGCTGGGCACAAATGCACTGCCAACACCAATTGCACTCAGACTGCAGCACAGAAGCCCAGACACCAGGACTCATCTGACCTGCAGTCACCTGCAGTCACCTGTACGGTGCATGGTGGCCCCCAAGGCTTCTCCTCATGTCTTTGCAGTTGGAAGAGCCAGAGGGGAGTCTACCAAGTTGGAAGCTACAGCTGGAAGCCACTCCGACAATGGTGTCCAAACCCAGTGGAATATCCAGTGTGGAGAGCAACCAGTTGGCTGTCACTGCTTAAAAGTATTGTGAGTGCCTTTAAGCAGTGGTGTCCAAGTCTCTCTGCTCCGGTGCACAAAAAGCCTGCAGGGCGTTTTGTTGTTGCTTGTTTGGCTCTGCATGGTCAAGGCTGTTCAGGCATCTCCGCTGCTCAGGGACCAAACAATGCCCAGTCCTTCGCATCCTTGTAACTGGGTAGATGCCAGGGCTGAGAATCATTGTGCAACAGGCTAAACATTCTGCACCCATCTGTGCGGCTTTGGTGTTGGGAGGAAGGCTGGCCACTTGCCACAGTCAGGAAAGGGGAGCCTGGTGAGTGTTGTTGAAACCTGTCCAGCATGCAGTCTAGTCTTCAGCTTATCATGCTCTCACATTTTTCCCACAGCTATAAATGCAGGGATTGTTTATGACAAAGCAACATGCCAATTGGTGCAGGACATCACAGGATCCCAAGAGCACCCACTCTCTACGCCAGAAGGCTTTCCAAATAACTCATCAGCAATTTGGAATAAGTCCATACTCTATGGATCACTTAAAATAGTGGCTAATCTGGTGCGACAAGTCCATTTTGCATGCAACCCACTTCTCCCTGTATTAAAGGTGGACCTTTGCATGGTGGGGGGGGGGGGTCAGTGAGGATACCGTTCCTCTCCCACACTTACCTGTGGAATACTTCAGCTGAACCTGCCCATCCACGATCTCTACAGCCAGGAAGTCATGCTTCTCATTGAGGCGTCCATTGTAGATGAGGAGGCCACTGCGTTCTAAAGTGGCGAACCTAACACAAGCAACGGAGTGATGAGGTAGAGAAAGAACCAGCCCTTCCACACTTAATTGGATCAGGGATACTATGTGGGTTTGAGCCCAACTAGGGGGATGGGAAATCTCCAGAGGCAAACATCCTGGAAACTCACTAATCTGGTACAATCACTTTAAAGGAGTGTAGGGTTTGCAAAAACATTTCTCTTAACAGTCAACCATCAGTAAAATGTAGGGATGCCATACTTCCTCCCTTCTTTCCAGGGCTCTTCTAGGCCAGGGCAATATTCAGCAGATGAAGCCTTTCAGGGTAGACCAACATTCAGTAGGTGAAGTCTATTGCTTCACTCCATGCCTAGTAAAACTGCATTTGTTAGCTTTCTATTGTTAGCTTTCTATTGCCCAGACACTCAGGGTCCCTTGTTCAAGAAAAATCCCAATCATCTACTGGTTCTCCCAGCTAGATGAAAATGTCAAAGAGGAAATTTCAACAGGACCCATCTCTCATGCAACTTGGTATGACAAAGAAGGCTGGAAAAATGGAGCAAGTGGATTTTGGAGCACAGAAGACCTTCCTTTCCAACATGGAGAATGGCCAGGACAACCCTGGCACCTAAAGGACAGCAGCCCTGGTCACAGTGGCTATGAAGCTGTCGTTCCAAGAACTTACGAGAGGGAGAGGGTGAGGTGGAACCTCTGGCGCAGTCCCCGGAACATGACAAATGACTTGGGTGGAAAGGAGCGTGTGGATACTTCACAGTATGGCTTCTCAAAGCCCCCAGGGGGGCACTGACACTGGAAGCCGCCATCTGCAGAGTCGGTGCAGGTTCCTCCATTCCTACACACTCCGGGGACACAGCGACCTGCCCGACTATCCACCTCACAGTTATCACCTGTACAGAAAGAACAGGAAGAAAGAAAGTGTCAGGAGGGTTCTGGGAGCAGAATAGGCAAAGTGTGGAGCAGGCTGTAATTTCTGGAAAAAACTGAGGAAAACATTGGCATGCCAGGGCAATGCACTCTCATTCTGTTTGTAGTGCTACAGAAAGGTTGCCCTGCTGCAAAATCTTCCAGTTCAATTACCCTTTTCCTCCTAATTATACCCCACAGCAGCATGGCCCTACGGGGTACCTTCCAGATATTTTAGACCACATTTCTCATGTACCGCAGCCAGTGTAAGCAATGATCATGGGTGATGGAAGCTGTAAGACAAAACATCTGCAGGAACCTGTGCCCAACAGAGAATGTTAGGTATCATCTTAAAGGTGCTCTCTTGTAGGAAATCACGTGCTGCAGATTGAAAATACTGTCCACTTCTGCATGAGTATAGATGCAGAAGAAAAAAGCAAAACCATAAGCCTAACTTCTCCTATGTACACCAGCTTTGTCTCCAGGTGTTTGGTTTTATCACCTTGGAAGCAATTTGCCTCTCAGCACCACTGAGAAGATGTTCCGGTTGAGCTCTGAACTCTTGTGCACTAGTTTAGAAAGGTCCCCTGGGTTCATTCCTCAGGTAAAGAGTTGCTCATATCACAGGTGTCCAGGCTCAGTCTGTCACCCAAGGCTGCCTCCCTAAGGAAGAGAAATTGGGCCAGGAGTGTGTTCACAAATGGCCTCCAACCAGCAGGTTCCTGACCAGCACAGGATGGCCTCACAGCAACTGCTAACCTGCGTGAGAAAGAAGTCATCAGCCTCCACAGTGTCTCAGGTGCCGCAGCACAGGAGCGCTGTGAACCACAGGCCTGTGGGACAAACCTGGGTCCCAATTCGGGTCTCTGGGGTTCCCCAGTCACTTCACTCCCCCAAGCCCATCCCTTTCTCTCAACTAGTGATCCATTTGGTGGTTTCCTGGCTTTTGCATGCTTGGCTTTTTCCCAGTCAAAAAAGTTAAAAGGCCTCTCCTAAGGCTCAGTGAGTAGCAGTGACGGCTCTAAAGCTAAACATATTGACATTTTTGGCATCTTCTCTCTACCCCCTTTTCCTTTGGCCCTACCCATGACATGAACAGGATCCCCTGAGAGTTTCTCTGAAGGGCATTTTGGTCCTCAGGAAGAAAGAGGTTTCCTACCCCTGCTGTGGGGCACAGGCTCCAACACTGCAGACCACACGAAGCGCAGCAACTGACAGGAAGGAGAAGATGCCCTTTCAAGACAGAGCTGTGGCTCACACTCGTGTGAGAACGCTTGTGCTGGGCAAACATCCCTACGCCGGTTTGTGAAAGGGCCTCAGAGTCTGCCTGCCTCTGCCTCGCCCCCACCTCCCAGCACCAGAAGGGGGAGGACGCCCCCTTTCGCCTTACCTTTCTGCAAGGAGGAAGGAAGGAAGGAGGACTAGCTGAAAACCAAGCTGCAGAAGTGGCATCACTGAAATGACTCTCCAGGCCTCACTGTATAAAGCCCTCATTGCAACTATATTTTCTCACCCCAATATGCATTGGTACCTTGGCTCATGAACTTAATTCATTCCAGGACTCTAGTCGTGACCCAAAATGGTCGTAAGCCAAGTCAAATTTCCCCATAAGGGTCAATGTAAACAAGGTTAATCTGTTCTGCAACTATTTTTTTTACTCACAAAAATTTGAAGCAAAGTGACAAAGAACAGCAAAGATCCCGGCCGTCCCGCCCCCCCCAAGCAATCGTGCAGGGGGTGGGGGGAGGCGGGCGTGGGCGTGCTTGGGCAGGGAACACGGGCGCAATTGTGGCCATCTTCCCCCCAGCACGGACGCGGCCATCTACCCCCCCCAGCACAACCGCGATCGTACCCATGCAAGGAAGGCGTGCGTGCTCACGATTGTCACCCGAAACAGTGTTTGTGACCTGCGGCAAATTTTTAAATGAAATTTCTGTTCACAACCCAATTTGGTCGTGAACTGAGGCGTTTGTGAGCCGAGGTACCACTGTACGTTTGTTTTTCAGAAGTTTGGCCCTAGAGGTCTCCAGTAGAGAGATGGCAGAGGGAAGGCAAAAGGAGGGAGAGAATAAAGAGAAAAGAATAATGTAGGGATGCAGAACCTCAGGTGTGGGGATGGAATTTGGCCCACTATGGTTCCCAAACTAACCCTTTAGTTTCCTCAGGAGGCCGTGCCTTTAGTTTCCCCCTTTGCTCTGACCTCCAGTCACCTGATAGTTTCCAGCTTTTGTGTAGTATTTTCCCCATTCTAAAAAGCCAGAATGGTTCTCTGGAGGTTAGTTGCTGCGGTTGACAGCATGGAGCTAAAATAAGCTGTTGGCCCAACCCTTTTGCCTCTGGTCATGCCCACCTGTGAAATGCGGCCTCCCAAGGGCTTCTTCAAAACAGACTTTGGGCTGAAAGAGGTTTTGCAACCCTGCACTAAAGAAACAACAAGGCCGTGCTCAAGCCTTGCCTATGGCACCTTTCTTACCTGGTCTTCCTTACCAGGAATACAACTCCTGTATACAACAGGAATACAACTCCCCTCACATAGCACCTTAAATTTAATCCGGGACATCCTCTTAGGATCACCAGTGCACTAGAAATCACTGGTCCTGCCCATTCACCCACAGGCCTCATCCTCTCTTGATTCTGCAGGCCTCATTTCCAGCCACACAGGTGGAAACTGCTTGGGATGCAGCCCAGCACTGTGCTCAGCATTTCACGCATCACAAGATTTCTTTCTTAATACAAATGTCCCCAGAGCCTTCAGCTGGGGATTCATCATTAGCTGCTCAGTGCATGCAACGCCCAGGCCATCAATCCAGATGGAAGCATTCAGCAGAGATCATTTTGTATGAGCGACTGTGGCCATGTGCACAGGAGGACAGTATGGGGTTGCCATCATGGCCAGACTTGATGAATATGGAGCACGGGGTGAGTGGGAACAGAAGGCTATCGAACTAGTTTGAAATTGTCTAGGGAGGAGTGATTCCATCAGGGGTTTGGGGCAGATGATGAGGGGCTTTGCAGAAGGAACAGGAGGGTTCCCCAAATGCATCAAGCTGGCTTCTTGCATTTCCAAGTAAGTGAGGTAATACACATTATCTTTTTTGAAAGCACTCCCGCACTCTGTGAGGCTATTAAGTGCGGAGTCTAAAATGAGACAACCCTGGGAAATACTGGCATTTCTTTCAAAGGCTGTGACCATCTACATGGAGTGCCCCTCTTGGGCGTCCCTGACAGTGCTTAGCAGCAACAATCTTCTCTCCCTGTTACAGGTACCAGAGGAAGCCATTGCCAGGTCCATGCAGCTTCAGTGCAATTCGACTTCATGGGACTACCCCTCAGGATGGTTTCTGGGAGCACCTATTTTCTGGGAACACCAGTAGAGGCAATAGAGCAGCCTCTATTGCCATTTGCCCAGGCAGCCACTTGGTGTCACTATTGACTATTCTGCACTTTTGGAAGTTGAAGCCAAGTCATTCTTTGCACCATCCTTCTGAAGCTGAACTCTTCCCAGTTGTCACCAATACACTGTGATAGGTTTCTCTCTGGCCAAACAGGAACGCACTGCAGAATGGTGGAAAGGGGAGGTTTTGCTTTCCCAGTGATGTGTCCATGACAGTGCACAGAAAGCTACAGCTCTGCACCATGGTGGAGAATTAATTCCTACAAACCATTTCCTGGAGATGCCTACCCCCTGTAGCACATAGTGCACCTGAGTTCAGAGACTTCTCTTGGTTGCTGAACAATGAAACTAGGTCTCTTTCATCATGTGGTATGAGATCAGCTAATCAGGCGTCCTTTAGCTGCTTCCTGGGGATGAGGTGACTTGTATCCCAAGAAACTGGAGGGTACCAGATTAGGGAAGGCTGAGCTGGACTGATGCATTCCTCTCATATCTAATTAAGGGCTGCCTGTCCTCTACTGAAGATCACAAAGGTCTCCTAATCTGTGCAGGAACCAAATACAAACCTGGGCCCACCAGGGAAGTAGAACACTTCCTCTCCACTGGCTTGTGACCAGTAAAGGCCAATCAGATGGGAAATGCTAAAGGATCCCTCCTCCCTTTTCCCTGAAGTAGAGGAAACTGAGATACTTTAACAGAGGAGGATGAGCAAGGTCAAAGGGACATCTCTTGCCTATGATTTGCTGAAAGGGACCATCTGGAACAGATGTGGGGAAGGTAACATTAATTAAGCATTGGTTTTGGCCAATTCACCGGCATTATACACTTTCTGAGAGAGGTAAGAGCTGAAGGGTAACAATAAGTGAAACCCCACATTAAGAGAGATTTGATATTAGGAAGAAGATTGGAACCTACATTTTCCCTCTATGAAGCTTAGTGTTGCCCACTCCTTCCTAAGTTTCCACCTACCTTTTAATAAAGCCACTCCTGCTCCATGGAAATAAAGTTGCCAACTCTTTTTCTGGTGGGGCTTCTGTGCCTTTAAACACATGTATGACATGCAGAAATATAGCCAATGAAAGTTTTCTTATTCCTGCATCCCCATGCAGAGAAAAGCTTCACAGGCTGGATTTCTACATGCTGTTAAAGACACAAGAACTCTGCCAGAAAAAAGCTGGCAACATTTTGCTGGAGCTGAATGTTCCAGTCACAATGTTTTGGGTCAGGACCACCAGTGTTTTTGCTAATTGCTGTTTCTCTGCCTCGAACAGCAGCTACAACTGCAGGTACTGGCAGGCAATTATATTTATCTCCATATTATCAAAAGCAGCATCTACTGATCTTCACAGGTCAAACTTGCTGCTAAAGGTGCAACCAGTCCATGGCATTCCCTCACAGTCCTGTCAATTGGCAACCTTCACATATCTGAGGTAAGTGGCACCTGCCAACATTAAATGCACAGGAACCTGGCCCATTTGGCTGCTGTGTTGACAAAGCACCTGCCTTCATCAACTCTTCCCTCCTTCTCATCCCCTTTCTGCCTCAGATCAAGGATGATACGTGTACCTATCCAAGACAGATCTGGCATCA